TATTCACGAGTATTTGCGACTGACATCTATTACACCCACTTCAAAGCAAACCCAATGAGCGTTGCAAGTGGTCTTAAATACAGGGATGTGATCTTGAAGAATGGCGGAGCAAAGGATATCCTCGAAATTTTGGAAGAGCTTTTAGGCAGGAAGCCAAATTCAAATGCGTTTTTCGCGGAGATTTTGGGCTAAGACCGGGGATGTTTTTGAAAGCAAAGCGACTCAAATTTATTCTATACATAAGTGAAACTAATATCTGCTCGGAAAAACACAGCAGTCCAGAGTGTGACGACTGAATACAACTCACCCCAACATAATATAGCTTAGTTTGCTGAGCTCAATTAATCAAGTTGTATTAGAACGCGACTGGGTTCTTTATAGTATTGTTAATTTAAGTATGTGATATACTACGGACCGTATCTCCTGATTTTGCTAAAGCCCTTGCGATTGTTATTTTGGCGTGTTATGATTCACCCAGGTGGAATATCTATTCTGAAAGCTTTTGCGAGCCTTGCCAGTGTCTTGTTCGTCATTTTGCCAATAGTAAGCGGCAAGATTATCCCTCGAGTCGGTTTCCAACTTGCCACATTCCTGGATCTTGTGAGCACCAAAACAGTTCGGACAGATCCCCGGTTTTTTTTTTCATGAAAGCCCGCATTTTAAAAACAAATTCATCAGCTACACGCACGCCCGTCTTGGAGTTCTGCGGAGATGGTTCGGTAATTACCGCCCCGGACTTTGCAATTGCATGGATTTCCTGGCGGTCCGCTTTGGTATAGACATCCCAAAAATCGTAGCGCAGGTCGATTTGGATATGATCGCGTTTACTCTCATTTTCACTCGGTCATTCACCTCGAATCTCGGTTCAGGGCGAGGCGTAGCGATTGGATAAATCCGGGGCCAAACTTCTTTGAGGAAACGCACGGCAAATGAGATCGGGTCAGAGTCATAACTTGGGTCGTGTTCCTTTTCCCATTCCCTGATCATATGCTCCCCGTTCGGAGGAAACTCCTCAGTAAGTGCCATGAGATGAACCGCAACGTGGCGTAAGTGGGAACGCGATTTGTAGCGCGCCTGGAAACGTTTCACCTCTGCAATAACGAGTTCAGCGCCTGCAACGGTAGTCTCTTTCCACGTCTGTGCCAACGCGCTAATGGCGTTCTCGTCTATAGACGCCTGAGACGAAGTGGAGTCTTTAGCCAGTTGAGCGTCCTTGATGATCATCCCCATCACCTTTCCCAATTCAAGGAGGTCAACTGGTTCCTGCCTCTCGCTAATTTGAGGATAACGCTTGACGAGAGCTGTTGCAATCTTTGTATTCGCAGTTTCGAACGCATCGTAGTGCGCGTTCCATGGAGCAAAGTAAGTGGAGAACAATGCCGGTGTACCGGCGGCAAAGATGGCCTTGAGTGGGGATTTGGTATTGAGATCCGAAAGCGTAATACTCATAATCTTTCAGAATAGATATTCCACCTGGGTTAATCATAACACGCCAAAATAACAATCGCAAGGGCTTTAGCAAAATCAGGAGATACGGTCCGTAGTATATCACATACTTAAATTAACAATACTATAAAGAACCCAGTCGCGTTCTAATAAGTTGATAGATCAACGTTGTACAAAACATAATTATGAGATATAAATGTATCTTTCGTATTACGTTCATTATAAAAAATTTTTACTCTTATTGAATTTATAGCAGTTAACGTAGCTGATGCTCAGGACCTATTTAATACATCATAAATTTACCCAATGTACACATACGTTATGTATTAATTCTATTATTCTAAAGATATTAGACTACCCAGATTATTTTGATAATGATGATCTCATGCACATAGATCTAAATCTAATATTAGCATTCCTGATTGAATCATCATCGATTATTTAACTTTTTTAATATCATTTGAAATAATTGCTATCGACGTTTTTCCCGAATAAAGAAAAAACAACCTGATATTGTGGTACGAACTGCACACCGACAATTGATTCTGCAGGACAAGAATATCTCCGGCTAATTGAGAAAGTGCTGCCTGGCGAAGCCTATCGCGCATCACGTGATGAAAATGGATCTCCGCAAAAAATTTGGAACACTGTATTGGTTAAGCTTTGGACTCTGTCCAGATTGAAAAATGTCATTATTGATTTGACCATGTGACCACTCATGTATTGTAGTAAAGATATTCTCTCTTTTCAAAAATCAATGTCGAGCAGATTTTAGCGGTGTCAGCACAAAATTCATCTTATTTTTGCGCCTCGACAGTGCTATACCCAGTCTCACAATCTGCCTCGCCACCCAAAGCGAGGTCAAAAAAAAAAACTTGTATCGCCACTGAGAGCTACGCCCCCGCCTAGAACAAGACCACTGCGCCAAATATAAGGTTTGGGTTGTTGATAAAATAAATCCATTCCGTAATATATTCCAATCCAGGGACGAATTCACTGAACTGTCTGTCTATCCAGAAGCAGCGTTCTGGTATTGTAACGTTCTTAGACGGCAAACGCTTCATCAACACATTCATCCCTTCACCTTAACTTCCCTTCATGTCAGCCTGGTGAAGGTTCTGTCTGATAACCATTTTATTTAACTTGAAAGACATTATCACCTAAGACATATTTGGACAGGGGCATCTACAGGACTTCCCTTTTCCTTGCTTCCGCCGTACGTTTTTCTCATTCTAACGTCGTCAACCTGCAACATAAATGAGAGACCTGAATTATCGCTCCTTAGCGAATAACAGGGCGGCGGTCACCATCACAACTAGTCTTTATGACCGGAGGGCGCTCGATGTCACTTCGGATAAGCCTCTTGTCAACTCTTTAAACCACCTCACATACTTAGTCTCGTCGAGTGCCAAAGTTCGAGAGACATTACTGACTGATGGTGGGCTCGAGCGTTTGGTGGAAATCCTTCATGAATGTCATTTATCTGCGTCCAATGTTCGTGATAATATTTTTAATGGCGAGAAAAAGCTTCTCACTGCGTGGAAATGGACCCTAGCCTTTCAGTGTTTGGTATTAATCGGTACAAGAGGAACAGAAAAGATACGACAGAAAGTTGTCCGTGCTGGCATGCTTCCTGTAATTGCTACTGTGCTAGATAATTACATCAATCTTCACGAAGGAACTTTTTTCGGTGCTGCTGCATGTGCCCCCCTGGCGCTAGCCCAATTTTGCGCTAGTGCAGATGCTTATCCTGACACTGCTCATCCACATCCAACAGCCCCCACCAATGGATATACTCAGGGTCAAAATTCGGTCGATACGCATCCACAAATTCAACGAGCTCAGCAAATTCCCTCTTCGAATCTATTAAACAACCTCAACGAAGAAGAAAACTCAGAAAATCTTCCACGCATACTCAATCCTTATTCTTCTCCAACTGCAACGGCAAGAACAAACCAGCCTGGAACTTCAGAGGAACCCCAAATCTCAGTTCATGAACCTCTCTCTCTGGGTCCGCCAAATCCATTGCGACTAACCTCAAACACCGGTACAAGAAAGAAATTTGATGTGGTATCATCGACCGTTTTCAACGGAGCCTGCATAAACACTTTAACTAGCGATGACTACGAGACACTCTCTGTTGATCAATTGTTCAGACTCATTCGTGAAAGTTTTGGAGTGCTTACAGGGAACAACAAATCATGTGGTCCTGTTCGATCTTCCGTAAATAATGATATTCGCCGCAGATGTCTCATAATGTGCATTCTCAAAAAATTGAGAGAGAAAAAGGCAACCGAGGTGGTACATCACAGCAATATGGATGAGTCTGAATACGACATGGATACTAATTTGCAGTTTTTGTCCAATCTATATTTGCAGGATGAAAAGACATCCCACATCACTACTGCCATTCACTCAAAAATCGCTCCTCGAAATTTCACAGAAACTGGAATTATTATTCCGAGAGATGATGATGTTGTCTGGTGTTTACAGCTTTTAGCGTATATTTCTAAGTATCCTTACCTCAAGGAAGTGTTACAGAATACGCATCTTGTGCTTGACATGAGCATTAGGGACAATCACTTACATCTGCAATCAAAGGAGACTGGGAATTCAAGATGCAGCTTCCGAAATACAACATCTTCAAGGGAGGCTCTCGTTCCTAGATCTCGCACAGGACGTTTTCTGACTTCAGGTATATCCACCCACTCCACGGCTTCTAACAACCAGGATACGAGTGTAAGCGAAAATCTCATGCCCTCGGCGTCAAATTCGCTTGAGATAAGCAATTTGAACATACGCAATGACATCTCCGATCTTGGCGAAGACGGTTCAAGTCTTTGTCATGGAGATGAACAATACTCTGAGCCCAGAAATACCAGAGCTGCTGATCTTTTTGGACATGTGTACAACCAGGGACGCAAGTTGAAATATGAATGTGATGGAGATGTTGATGAGAATGGTTTGATAGTAGAGGATGATGTGCCTGAGCCTGCTCAAAACTCTAGTCGTTTGAAGAAGCTATTTAAAGCAATCATCGAGGTCGAATCCATTCCTAATGATTTGGACAGAGAACTCGCATTATTTCGTCTCAGCGATAAAGTCAATGAATGTATCGAAGAAGAATCCAGAATCTTGAGCACAACAATAATTGAAAAGCGACTGGAAGAAATAAAGTACTTGTCTGATGTGTGGAATTATGAGACTTATGATAAATTTGATATTGATGATTTGGGAGCGGAGAAGGACTTCGATGTATCCTTGATGGAATACAAGAGACTCAACTTATTTCCAACAGTTGAAAAATTCACTTTTCTTGCGGGCACTGACATGTACTATTGGTCCGGCGTGATCATGAGAAACTCTTGTCGCAGAAATGATTTCAAGGGTGGTGTTCGCCAATGTGGCAATCTTGAATGTGGTAAATGGGAGCAAACACCCAGGGAATTTAGCAAATGTAAGAGGTGCAAGCGAACAAAGTATTGCTCTCGTGAATGTCAGATGCGTGCTTGGCATTGTCATAAAAATTGGTGTGTTCTCAGCAATTCTTCAACGTCTACAAACAATGCGGATTCTGCAAACACAGTGTATGAGGGACAGCACGATCGCACCATAAACATGGAAACAGCAACATCGGATTCTGAGGGAATTACATCAAACGCGAATGATTTGTCGCAACACGTTTCAGCATCTGATCAGGAGACTCAATATTCTGAACTATGATCCCTCAGATACATACTACAGCTGTCTCATTCTATATTAAGTTCTATTTGCAGGCGGGCCTGGGATGCTCGCATTTTGCATTATATATTGTCCATTTGGTTATTGGGAAAGTCATATAAAAAATGTTGTTGGTATATGCTTTTAGGTAATCATTTTAAAGTTAAGGGTAGCCCATGCAATATTGGGGCTGCGCCATTGAGGTACTTCAAAATACAAGCATCACGACTCTTCGTCATTGCATGTGCAATGGACTTTGGGCTTTGAGTATAGCCTTCGCCTAAGCCCCACTCAGCAAACATTGACAAACTGAACACATCAATGTCTTTATCTGTTATATCCCACAAGTTTGTCACGATTGCCGGAGATCCACAAACAAGCCAGTTGAATACATTGCTGGATGAAGGCAAGTTCCCGTGTCCATGAAAAGCAGACGAAGAACAACCCATCAAAAGACTCGCTGGTAGATGGGTTTTCCCTTTTGCATTTGACTTAAATAAAGCCGATGAGCGCAAGTACTGCTCTCCTCCACCGTGTCCTAGATAGACATAAAGATTTGTGTCAAAAAGCTCCGAAGCCAACCATTCTTCTGAGGGACTTTCTCCAGCAATACCCTTTGCACACAGTAGCTGGTGGAAAACAGGCTCAAATATTTTTTGCGTTCGGCCAAGATCAGACCCAGGGTTGATAACATAAAGAATCTTTTCATCACCCTTGTCGAAGACTGACATACGTTTATAATTTTTTAAAGATTCGGTCAAAACACCAACACTGGGCATACGTGAAACCGAACGTCCTCTTAAGAAGGACATGGACTCCCATGGTATGTGAACACAAGACGGGCTCGGTATAATCACCAAGTGCTGGAAAGAAGAACTATCTGGTATGGAAGGAAAAATCTTGGAAATGCTATCAATGAGCCAACTCTTGTCTATCGCTTCTTCGGAATTTACGCGAGTGTCAAGGTCATAGTGATGTATTGCATAATCGGTCAAATCCTTCAAATACTCGTAGTATGAGTTTTCATGTCGTTCGTAAAGACAAACGTGATAGAACAATTCGACAAAGATTTGGTCGAGACCAAAAGATATTGATTGATCCCCAATGGCGACCGTCCAAATTTTGTTCAACTCTAGTTGAAAACTTTCATATTCTCTTGCGGTAGAGTCAAATGTATTGAACATTCCCGTGAATCCGCCAATAGTCAGTTGCTCCATTTGCTGCAAAAGCATTTGGAGCTGCGAGTCTAGTTCAAATCTTATTTTCCACCACAGTTTTCTCTCATCCTTTGTTCGAATTGTGGATGTTACCTTGTTCTTGGTGGAGTTGTTACTTTCGGATATAATGCCATTCAATTCTTTCAGGTATTCCTCAAAACCGGGACCTGTGCCTCTCGTTCTCCTATTGAAAGGGAGTTTAAGAGAACGAATATCATCAGCTTTGGTGTCCAATCGGGAGATAATCAAGTCACCGGATACGTCACATACGTCTAGAGTAACAACTGCCCAAGACGCGGGAAGCAATTTCTGAAAATCTTTGTAGAAAGATGTCGTTGTAATTTTTGCAAAATTCAGGTTATCCGTCGCATGCAATGTCGGTAACAATACCGACTCAGATAGATTTTCGTGAATTGCTGCTCTTTGGTTGAAGTATGGAAGAGACTGTGAGAGATCTCCACACATAAAGGATTTTTGAAGTAAAATCATCATTTCAGAATCTTGACAGTGTCCGGAAGACGAGAGAAGGAAAACGCATCTTCGCAATAAAGAGCATAAGTCACGCATTTCCCCGACTTCAATACGGCGAAGAAAATCTTTATCAGCGAAATGCTTTAAAGTTTCTCTGCAATCTAACACACGAGAAATGCATTTATTAGCGGGTCGCAGTTCAATTTTTGATGAGCTTGTGGGACACGGGAAGAGCTGTACCAGTGTAATTAACTTTCCAGATTCACTGCCAATGGACTCAACCTGTGTCAATATCTCTCGCAGCAGTAAAATGGCTCTTGTGAGAGTTTCGTGCGTGTCGGGGCTATCTTGTTGTAATTTCGATAGGTGCATACTGTCAAGATCAACTGTCAATGATCCAAGATCTACTAATAGATCAGAGATGAACAGAAACGAGGCGCAAAAGTGATCCACTTTCTCTGGTGTTTCAAATAAACATGCAAGTGCTTTGTGAATAGTACGCTGTAGGCATTTTTTAGGAATACAACCAACATTCAACCTAGTAAAAACTATAGCCTCTGCAAGATCCAAATATGGAGACTCCCAAGTGTTTCTACGACCATTGTCGAATTGTGAAATAGCATCAGATGTTTTGCCCACATGAAGTAAGAGGTTTGAGCTAATGAAGTGATTCAATGTTTTGAGGGGAGAATCGTGTAGCTGGGAATTAATTTTTACAAATTCAAGACAGAAGTGCATCGCATCTTTTGTGAGCCCAAGGTGTTTCGCAGCTTTGAAAGCAAAAATGTAACTTTTCGAGAGCAAACTAAGAGCTTCAAGTTTGGCGCGATACAATTCTGGATTGCTTTCCGTCTTTCTTAAAACCGAGAGTAAGAGTTTTATCGATAGTTTCAAATTCCTCAAGGCCGTGAACATTTCAGCTGACATTATGTTCATCATTGAAGTCAAGAACAGAAATTTAGCAATCGTCAAAAAACACGACAACTTATCATGCAAGGATTGACTCTCAACTGTAGTTAGAAGATCGTATTCAGGTCTGGAAGATATGATAGACTTGAGTTCTTCAAATTTGGATCTGGATTTTTCTTCATCGCGTATTTTGATGAAGAATTCAAGTTGGGTCAATTTCAAATTGACTAGATTGCCATAGTCTGAAATTTTACCGGAAAATGCATCTTTGAGAAGGCTTCCATAGTTCTGCAAAATATGCGGGAGCTTGTCAATTTCAGATATCTCAAGAAGACAACGACTAAGCAATATGTTAAGATTGATAAGGCCTTGGGTTTCCTTGAAGTTTGAGCCCTTGAGTCTTTCAATGAGTTTCTGGATGAGTTTTATACAACGGTTAAAAAATCCCATATGCGATAAAATTGTTAAAATTTCCAAAAAAACTGAAAAGTGGCACAAGAACTTTGACATGTGTGCATGATCTAGCCATTGATGTACCCAAGCATCAATTTTTTTCAAAGCAAGCGTATCAAGTTTATTGATCTTGGATCTATTAGCAAAAATCCCCGCTGCAAGTATGACATCAGGACATAGACTGAGAGTTTCTACCCGTGAAATGTATACTTCGATCTGAAAATATTGGGATACTTTGTATCGAGTCGCAAGCAGAACTGTCTTCGGTAGATTCTCCATCAAATCCTTTAATAAGCCATGATTTTTGATGGGTAACTTGAGATGAAGTGGGATCAAAAGATTTTCAAAGAGCCTGATTTGTTCATCTGGTGCAATGAACAGTGTTTTTCCAAAAAAGTGATGCGTCATTTTCTGATCTGCTATCAAGCATGAAGCTATAATGCTCAAAACTCTGTTCTCAGTGAGTCTTGGTGTATCATCCTGAATGTATTCTTTCACAAGCTGGGTGGCACTTTTTTCAGCGCCAAGATCGAAAAGGGAAGAAATTGAATACTCAATTCGCTTTGATACATATACTTTGGAATCGCACTTTTTAAGAAGATGAAAGTACGCTAAATCTAATTGGCAGGCGGTGAAAAATCCATCAAGCAGTTCAGACTTAAGTGCAAATTCAAAGCAAAGACGTGAAACAAGTTTGATATTCTCAATTCGTTTCTCTTGTATTAACATACATGAAACAATTGGCGCCCACTCTTTTAAGCAATGAGAAAAAACTTGATCATTAACCAAAGCAGACTTGAGATACAGCACACATCTGTCAAGAATGTCATGATGAAAATCAGTCATGGCTTTGGCTGGAACTGATTCTAGAATAGGTTTTATAACAGAGGCTGATTGGATACAAACTTCTGTTTGTTCAAAAAAATTCAACACAGACTTTTTGTTCAAACTATCGAGGGAAGAAATGGACATCGCCTCTGCAGCAAGAAGGCTCAGATTCAAAAGAGATTGCGGAGCGACCAACTTTCTTGCAGAATCATCTTGCAAATAAAACTCTGCAACCTTTGCTGCAACCTTCGAGTGCATAAATCTCTGGTCTTTGGATATAATTATGTGTAAGTCGCTAACGAATGGTTTTAGCGCTATATCATTGATATCACATAATTCGAGATCCACGTTGTTGTTGGTGAGAACATTATACTGCAAAACTTTGAGTTTAAGAGCAATTATTGAGAGAGACAACTCCAGTGTTGGTAACTTAGAATTGATGAACTCGGCCACTTTGACCAACCCCGAAAGCATTTTTAAGCAGTTGAGATGGTATTTCATTGCAACAGAAGTATCGCAGAATGACAAGCACGTGTCAAAGTTCGAACCCAGCAAAAAAAGCGAGGCAGTTTTCCAGAACAATTTAATATCCAAGGATGAGTCTTTCTTAGTGATAGTTTGTACTTTAGAAGTAAGCATTTGCAAAACAGACTGGATAAGAAAGAAATGAAACGAGATAATCAACGTGAGGGGAAACCCCACATCATGTGACACGCCTTTCAAAAGAGTTTCGTAAGCAACTGAAGTAGATAACAGAGATGAAGTGAAAACATTGTATATGGTACAAAGCTCTCCAAGTGCATACTTATAACGCATTTGAGAATTGAGAAAGACCACATAGTGCTGGTGTTTTTTAACCAATGAAATCCTGTCGTCGTGGCTCTTTGCACTAGAATAAAGACATTTAAAGGCCAATGAAAGATTTTCAACGCTTTTGGTCTGCTTTGAGGCACAGAATGAGTCGACTAAATCTAGGGCCACTGATGAGACAGAGCTTGTTTTCGTTCTCAAATCTGTAGGCAAGTTGGTTGACAATGGCTGCAATGGTGTCAACGACAGACGTTTTTCACGGGATAGATACAGCTGAAGTTTTTTCTTGATTTCATTTATTTGTGAATTGCCGCTCATTGGTAGTATTGTTTTTCTTCCACGGTCGACAGTCTCAAAACAAACCGTGGTATACAAACAAACTGCATGCAAAGGTACACTATGTTTTCGCGCCCGATTTAAGAAAGAGAAACCCCACTACTGCCTTTTGTAAACAGGTGAAAGGATTCATGTTGCAAAGAATTGGTTTGAAAGATTGAAAAAATGAGTCGTTGATTCAAAACTATAGGCGGTTTATAACGCATTGCTTTTTAAATCCATCTATCATGCTTTGATATCAATAAGCGGCGATTTTTAGCGAGATCACGTGTATGAAAGGTGTTGCTCATTCAAAAAAGGTTTCTGAGTGCACACTACTCTCTGATTTTGCTGCTAGGGACCCTAGACAAAACAATCTTAAACGTCTAGCCCAGTTTACCGTTGCATTATATCTGAAATTAACATTTCGAAATTTCTTATCGCACTCCCTCGGCCTTTGCCATTCCCCAACACGCTCTTTTCACCTAATTGTTTCCATGATACTGTCTTCTCGTTTATTCCAGAATGTTCGGGGAACGGATATTGGCAGCATTTTCAAATCTGCCATGGCACGAGTTAGCTCTCAGACTATGATACTAACAGCGGGAACAGGGGCCATCTCCTCGGAGCTTCACGGAATGACCCTCTCTTCGGTTTGCTCGCTATCGGTTCATCCAACTCCTCTCTTGCTGTTCAACCTACATTTACCCAGCTACACATCGAAAACCCTTCATGAATGCGATGGAATTTTAGGTCTTCATGTCATGCCTCCTACGAAAAAGGCTGTGATGTTGGGGAGAAAATTTGCCGGAGGTGTCAAAAGAGATACATCCCACTTTGATGCCGAAAGTGAAGATGGTGAACCTTTTCATGAGATGACTACTCCATTCAAGGGATTATCAGATGCATATTCAATGCACATGACAAGCAAAGGTATTTATGTGCCCATCTTGAAAGAGCTGGAAGTGGTGTTTCTTTGCGCAAAACATAGAGTTTTCACAGTGGATAAACATGAATTATGGGTAGTGAGGGTTGATGACATTCTTTTTCCCAACAAAAACTACGATTCGAAATCCTCTGGGGGACTTTTGTATTTCCAGAGAGGATTTCGTCAATTGGGCCAACTGCTTTCTGAGTGATGACAAAAGAAAAGTGCCTACTACCGCATCCTTGAACATTCATGTCACACCTACCTTGTTAATATCAGTATGCAAATTATTCTATGTGGTTATTCCAGGGCAATGTTGTCATTAAAGTAGCCTTTGAGTTCCAAGCTTAGTTCATCAGAGGCTTCCATTATTTTGGGTATGATACTCCCGAGACGATCGTGTATCTTCTTCTGCCTCTTTTGAATCTTTGCCGTCAAGGTCTTTTTGAAGCCCTTGATTTCCCCATTTAATTTAGCAATCTCGTCTTTTCGAAACCTTAACTTGCCCTCAGTCTTCTTCAATCTGACCTCAGCCCCCTCTTTTTCTCCCTCTACGGCTCGAACATCCATTCTCAGCTGATTGAGCTTTTGCTCAGACTCTAGGATATGTGACTCGAGCTCAACGATCTCCAGTTTCAAAGATCTTTCTTCTTTGTCGTATTTCTCCTCAAAAACGTGATTGCTTTTCTCGATATCATTGATCTGACGCTCGAGTTCTCTTATCTCATTTTCCAACTGCATCACAGAGTTTTGCAACCCTTTCAACTTGCCACCAATTCGACCTTCATTTGTCTGTGCCGTCCCATATTTGTCAATCTTGGACTTCAAAGAATCAATCTGGCGCTTAAGCTCAGTAACTCTCTTGCTTTCTTCCTTTTTGGTTTTTTTAAAATTTGTCTTCATCTCGTTTATGCTGGCAATGGAAAACCGCAAGCTGGATTGAAGCAAACCTATGACTGAGGAGATATTTGTATCATTCGGTTTATATTGCTCATACTCGTGTGCGGCAGTACTAACAATAAAACACCCGACCAAAACTTCATCGCCAAATATTTCGACTTCAAATTGATACAGAGGAAATAACCCGTAGATGGATATGTAAGCTTTATCTTTATCAGATGAAGGAATTTTGGACACACTCACATCAACGAGATTCCATGGAATCCCATTGACGCGAAATGAAAGGTTTGACACCACAGCCAGGTCCATTAGCTCAAACACAATCCGTGAGCTTTCTGCTGACACCAATGCTAAATGTAAGGACATTGGAGTCGGGGATTCTAGACAGGTAGTTTCCAGACTACTTTTGGCTGGAGGCCCTGAAAAAAGATGAGGCTTCACTGCCAACACTTTGATTGCTGCTATCCAAGTCCAAATAGGTTGAGTCGATACTGTAAAATATCTATCCATGATTGTCGTTGAAGGAATAGCCGTGCTATTGGACCTTTTTCGATCCACTATTGTCCTGTTTTGGCTTTGCTTGAAACCCGATACAGGAGTTTTAGTTGCAGGCGGCTTCATGCAAAAAATCTTAAAATTTTCAGCAGTGATTGCCTCTTTAGAGTCGCGCAATGGTGCTTCTAAAGGATTGCTAGCCACTTTTGAATTAAGTTTGATCTCGTATGGTTCACTTGTAGCTGACGACTGAGTCCGTGGTTGTTCCATGTTGATTACAACCACCGACTCCGAGGAAGAGTTTCGAGGAAGACTAGATATTATTCCACCTTTTTTGAACCCCCCATAAGGAACATCTGGGGTAAGACATGACAAGTGATCTAGCGTTTTAGAGTAGTCTTTCAAGATGAAGATTCTCTTGAGATATGGCGAAATAGTCAAGCTAATGACATGGATGCAAAGTACCAAATAGGCAAAATTTATGACAATGAAAAACTCCCTCGAAATAAAGGAAAGGCGCTCGATGGACTTGTCACCAAGACGACAGTACTTGATAAATATTTTAAAAACAAGGCGACTCGCCCAAGACGCCTTTGCTGAAAATACCTTGGTGTCCTCATAGTACGTGCTCTTCCTCGACGACAAGAAGTTGATTGAAGGCATTGGTGAAGAAAGCACAGAGTTCGCTTCAGGGTAATCATGAGTAGCATAATGACTAAAATCGCTCTTTGGCCACAAAAAGGTAGAGCATAGCCTGGATATGTCGCCCCAAAGTATCGAAGTGTTCATATTTGACATTCGTTCTTTGATATAGTTCGCTGCAACAACGAACGAGAACCCAGTGACAAAATTAGCAAAGCCACCTGGCGCGTTTTTCGTTTCAGTCCTTGTCGTGCCACTTGTGTACGCATTTCCATTGTTGGAAGTAGTAGTGGTGGTGGTGACACATCCATTGTTATTAGCACTATTGGAAACGACGGAGACATATGTCGTTGAGCCTGTCGTATGAGTTCCAACAAGTCTGCTAGCAATAATTGACTTTGCCAACACTATTAAGTACTGAAACCAAGCACGCGGTAACGAGAAGTGGCAAATCAACAATATGAACGAGTTGACAGAAAACAACTGTAGAAATTCGCCTAGCAACTCAGAACGATAATATGAGTTTCTTGCTCGAGAGCTAGTCTCCAAGTTGAAGCTTATCCGATCCTCTGACTTGAGAAAGTATTTTGCAATGAATCTGCCAGCAAGAGACTTAAATGATCCCAGAAGGATATAAGATGTAAGCACAAGACAGCTTACGCTTTGAGGTAGGGTTAGCAATACGAATATAAGCGCACCAACATCGCAGCCAGGTTTGGGATTTAAGATGGCATCAGTAGATATGGATGCGGGCGAAAACACGACACTTTCACTTTGACCAGATGGAACCTGAAGTTCGGGGGCAGATGTAGGTATGTTTTCGGTAGTACTATCTGCAATCGCAGCAGCTCCAGCGCCAGTAAGACCAAAAGGAGGTGGTGAGATAATCTGCTCGGTATTTTCTGTCATTTTCAGTGACAGTTTGGGAGGTGGATTACCACCATGCATGTTGTCAACGGAATAGATAAAAAGTTGTGCTTCAGATGCCTTTTGAGAGTGGGTGGAAATGCGTGTTGCTTTTTCTTGAGAAATGATTGGCGAGCTCAGATTAAATAATCTTCTTTGCTGCTAGAATCGTGTGGTTCGTGGAACTCGTACCCGTCTAGGAGATAGTTTAGTTTTTGTGAGAGAGTTCCGAATCCTCTTTAGTTCTTTGGTTTTTTCCTTTGTATGCTTGTGCGATTACACGCACGAGACCGGAGTTCCCGGTCGAAGACACGTCTCTTCGATCGTGCGAGAAAATCCAATTTGCAAGCTCGATAAAAAGGCATCTGATAATCATTCTTGCGGAGAGTTTCAATATCTTAAATGTTAAAGGATCATATTCGCCAGTTTCCAGATGTTTGCGTGCTCCCTTACATTTCTACAAGTTTTTTTTATTATCCAAGTCTCGGAAAATGGGTACAATACGAAGTCTCTCTCAAACGTAATAAGCATGTAGCCATCGCAACTCGAAAGCTCGCCACTTTGCTTGCTCATTTCTTTCCTACAACTACACTCAGATGTTTCTTCTTGGTATAGATGCCTCAAATTTAACTATAGAAGTGAGCTACCACGGGTTCACAATATTTGCGCCTGAGTCATGTGCGGATCTCGTTTGTAAAAGCACTGCATGAGGGCGATCTGATGCTTCTCTGTAGAGTTTCAGCGCTCTTTAGCAGAACGAAATTCTTTAACTACCGATACAACATAATTTTTCAAAAGAAGAACAAGCCAAAGCTGTACTAAGTTGTTTGCTCCAACCTGGAAGTCTTTACTTGAGAATCTTGGATTCTGCTGCAGTAAATGTTGTGGCCGTACTAGTTTAATGAAAGACCTACTTTGTATCTTCGGAAAGTAAAAGGTGGTGATATTAAGATAACTTGAGGCAATGGACCACTTGCAGCCAACATTCGCCGTCAAAATCTTTCTGGCATCTGTGAGCCGTCATGAGCAACGTCTACTAAGCCTTGTCAACAAATCATAGCCCGCGCGTATGTAGGTTCATGATGCAATCCTCGGAAGATTCGATTCACTTAAATTGCGGCATGGAATAGTCCTACTGTTTAACTATCGGCTTTTCCTCTCACGTTGATCATATCTGTCACTAGACAACGTCAGTGTTCCAAACCCAACAAATACTTTGTGCACTATCTGAGTATATGTCCAAGATGCAAATTCTTGTGCTTACCGTCGTTATGGCTATGTTCTTAAAATGTTTGGGTGCTACCCAAGGGATTTCAGGTCTACAAGGCCGCTCTGCATCCAGCAGCAATTCAGCAGTTGACACAATAGCGTTTGAAAACGTCGGTTTCACAGGTTATTACTACGACGTTCAGGAGATTCTGAACGCAGATTCAGAAGATTGCTCATGCACTCTCTCCGACTCCTTCACGGTTTTTGAAGGATCCAATGCACCACTTGATGAGGAACTTTCAATTCACTTTCGTGGACCATTGTCTCTTTGGCTGTTTGGGGCATATACAGCTGACGACTCATCGAGTGGCACTTGGGACAGAGTCTCCTACTATGATTCGAATAGTCAGGCTTCAACCAACATAACGTTTTTGACACATGCTGGTGAATCCTCAACTTGTCTAGGATCAGCACTCACATTTGCAAGTGGCAACGGTACTGGATATGCTGATTCATCGACAATTTTAGAAAGTAACAACTTGATTAATTCCAATGAAGAATTCATTATCTTTTCGGGCCTGGCTTGTCCCGACTCCGGGTTTGATAATTCTTGTGGTATTTATAGAAGTGGAATCCCTGCATATCATGGATTTTCAGGTACCACCAAAATGTTTTTGTTTGAATTCGAAATGCCAGAGGCTAATGTGACTCTGGAATATTACTACAACATGCCAGCGATTTGGTTTTTGAATGCAAAAATACCAAGAACATCTCAATATGGATCAGATGCATCGTGCTCTTGCTGGAACTCTGGTTGTGGTGAAATCGATATTTTCGAAGTAATGAACTCTTCTACTACTGGTCAACTTTACGCGACTATCCACGATTATCAAGGCACAGGTGATATCAACACTGGCATGCAAGCTGATGGATATTTTTCTAGAGACGTAAGCTCAACGATGAAAGGCGGTGTTGTATTTGGCACTGACGGCACCATCTCGATCTTTATGCTGGATAGTTTGGAAATTTCGGAGTCTCTAGACGCAAGCTCAGTAGCATCATGGATTTCTACAGCTGATGAAGTTGTGGACACTTTGTCTAGTGTTACCATGAACACATCCACAACGGCTTCAAAGAGTTCCAATGGTGTCATGAGCATCAGCCAAAGCCGAAGTGCAGCATTCATGTCTTTCGTTTTTCTGCTTTTTATGTATTTTTAAATTCTCTGTGAAGCCACTAGCTTGAGCAAAAGGGAAATTACTTCATGCTGTTCAGCATACGCGAGCACAATTTCCTTTGCGGCTAGAGATGAATAAATGACTGGTAGAGAGTCATCCCAAATAATGCAATCTGAGGCAGCAGGCCGTATAAGAATTTCTCTCTCGGGGTCTTTTGAAGAGACTGAGATGTTTTCAGGCAATTCATCGATCATTTTTTTAATTTTGCTCCGGTAGAGTGAATCTATATCGGTGGCTAAATCTTGGGGGGGTTTTATCGCTCCGATCACAGAAGAACTCTTGTGCTTGTACTTCAGAGGAATAGGGGCGAACCGTTTTCGACTGAGAAACTTAATATAGCTTTTGTTGTTAATGACGTAGCTTGCGGGATTTTGCCCACAAGTTGGCTTCTGAAGCACTGGTACAAGTTCATAAGCCCCATGCTTCTCTGACTCACTTACTATTATTTGAACCATATTCTCCAAAGGAAATCTGGTTCTTGATACATCAAGACGCGTTTCTAGTAAGGATTTTGCAAACGGGTTCACATTAAGGCTTGTGGTATCATAGAATCCATCGAGACATAACTGAGGAGAATGCCTTTTTTTAACTCCTCTGAGCCATTTAACAGGATTTTTGAAAAAAGGATGTTGTAGATATGTGCGTGACATGACTCAAAAGGATAAAAAGATTGATTAGAAGGTAAAGGGTCTTGCAGAATAGGACAAAGGGCACGAGATGCCCAAATCAAGTGACTCGATTCTTTTGACAAACAATGAGATGTTCCGGCCACAGCTCACGGTGTCTGCACGCACCTTGTATTCCGACTGACAAAAAAGATGCATTACACCCAAAATGAAGAAATTCATGTAATAAGACATTCTCACGTCTAATTTTTGTAGCTATAGAGTATTTGCTATATATGATGTTGTGAGCTTCATGTAATGGCTTGGTTCTCCTTTTTTACGCCATATCATACATGAGAACGGATATGTTTTACAATTTGTTACTTTTCTGAATCCTCTTGCCAAGACCTATCATATACATTTCTCTCAGACTTTGGCGACAAGCATGCGGTTTCATTGTGAAAACTCTATCGAACATTTTCTCTAGTTTTTGGCGCATCTCTCGATCTTGAGATCCCGAGAAATATTTCATCACCAAAGTGCCCTTTTGGCGAAGAAGTCTATTAGTCAAGATTAACACACCCTCGCAAATGTCCATGCTGCCATAGTGATCTAGCTCACCATTCCCTGTGGAGTTACACATCATGTCACTTAGAACGACATCAATTCCTTCTTCTGAAAAAAAAGAATCAATCTCTTGATGTGTCTTGCGAGAAAATATATCGCCCTCTATGAAATGGGATCCAGGCGGAGGAGCACAATTGATTAGATCCACACCTAGAATCTTGGGACTTAGACCTAATTTTGCAAATTCAGCAAGAGCCACTTGGGTCCAAGCACCTGGGGCAAAACCTAGATCAACTATATTCTTAGTTGACTTTTTGAAGATCTTGTGTTTCTGATTTATCTCTATGAGCTTGTAAGCGGCTCTTGATCTATATCCATCAGCCAAACTCTTCTTAGTGTATGGATCAGCAGATTGTCTATCCATCCATCGACGTGATGATGTACCTTTATATCGACGTGACCCCAAATCTTGTATGGTTCCACTTCTACCTAGGCGATGACACCGAAATATCAGCAAAAGTTCATTCTCAAGATGAGCGTGTTTATTAATTACTTTCCTAAGGCAAAACATGGGCGGTTTTTCCAAGGTATGTATGATCTGAGACCAGAAAGAAAAATTTCAAATTCACAGGTTCTCCAAGCGCGAGGTTTCAGACAAAGGGTTTAGTCTGCTTTATTGTAAAACAAAGATTCTTCACCTTAGGACAATGTGAATCAGTAGATATTTGTTTTTTTTTTTAAAAAAAAAAAGGGCCACTAATACAAAATGAATTAACGGTTGACAAGAATCTTCCGAAAGATGGAGTTATCCAGCGCACTAAGATCGCTTGGATCTTCTTTCCTGCATCACCACCCGATGCTCATCATTGAGACTGTACTTTTTTTTCCCAGGTCATCCGTGGTGTTCATATCACTCGACACATGACAAAGATGAATATACTAGAGAGGCTCAAAGAAAACCCTACTGATATATTCAGTCTTGCCTTAAATACTAGCACAAATGATGAAATCAATCAAATAACGAAGTCGCTCTTAGACCCAATAGCGAAAGATCATTCTGTGCTCGACGAAATATATACAGAGGGCCTTGACTCCACTCAGGTATGGGGTCAGGTGCAAATGATTCTTCTGAATGTGGGTGAGACATATCTTTTTAACGAAATACCTAAACTCAAGGAAGTTTATGGTCTTGTCCCCAACGAATCCGACAGCGATGATGAAAGTGAAGTGCCTGAAAGTGAAATTGATGATAGTGCCCTGGAAGATGCAGATGACAAGACGTCTGAAAAACATGGAAAGGATGAAAAAAAAGATGAAGATGAGGATGATGATGAAGATGAGGATGATGATGAGGATGAGGACGAAGTATTCCATCTGTTGGATGAGTTTGAGGATGACCCTGTTCAAACTGAAACTCCTCTGGACGCAGAATCAGAAGAGACAAAGGTGCCTTCTGATAATGAATCTGCTGGTCCAGCCAAGGATGCTTTCGGTCTCAATGATGGGTTTTTTGATATTGATCAATTCAATAAGCAAATCGTAGCTCTTGAGGATGACGAAGTTCAAAATGACGAGGAAGAAGTTGACTTGTTTGCTGATATGAGTGATTCGGAAGATGGTGAGAACGAACAAGATATGGACTACTATGACGAGTTCTTCGACAAGCCAGGACACAACAAGCCCATAATTAACAAGATATCACACAGCGATAAAGATATCAATGTCAATGAAAGCGATGAAATAGCAGAAAACGAGTATGAACATGCAGTGAGTGATGCTATGCTTGATCTTTTTGCGGAAACTACCGAGGATAAATCGAGTACTTCCAAAAACTTATCTTCGTTCGAGAAGCAACAGCAAAAGCTCCAAGCGGAAATATCTCAGCTCGAAGCTGAGTTGGTGGCAGAAAAAAAGTGGACTATGAAAGGTGAAGTAAAGTCTGGTGATCGTCCTGCTGATTCTCTCTTGAATGATGATGAAGCTCCTAACTTGGAGTTTGACCGTACATCAAAGCCTGTACCTGTCATTACGGATGAAGTAACAGAAACAATCGAGGACTTGATTAAAAGAAGAATCAGAAATGATGAATTCGATGATTTACCACGAAGGCTCATCACGGATGTTGGAAAATTCGTTCAGAAAAAGAAAACAGAAGTCTCTGATCAAAAAAGTGCTAAATCATTGGCAGATATTTACGAGGACGAATTTCATGGTGTAGAGCCCGAGGACAAGATTTCAGAAGAAGTTCAGAGTTCGCACCAGGAGATCACTGATTTGTTCACAAAGCTTAATTATAAGCTTGATTCATTGTGTCTGGCTCATTACATTCCAAAGCCTAATGAATTCAAAAGCATTGAAATTAAAGTATCTGATGCCCCGGCTTCCATTTCTATGGAGGATGCTCAACCTTTGCATATCTCTGAGGAGGTCAAGCTAGCCCCTCAAGAGATCTATAGGATCGGGGATGATAAGCCAAAGGCTGACGGTGCACGCGGAAATTCCCAAGTGCAATTGAAATCTGGCTTGTCCTACTCAAAGGACGAACTTGATCACGAAGACAAGGTAAGATTGAGAAGAGCCAAGAAGAGAGCTAAGTCTAAGCACTTCAACGAGCTAAAGGAAGTAAGAGAACAGAGAGAGAAACAGAACCCTAAGGTTGAGAAGGAAGGAGACAGAAAGAGACAAAGAGTTGGAGATGTTGTGGACACATTGACGAAAGCTAAGAACTTAACCGTGATTGACAAGAAGGGACATCTTCGTGATGTTAAGGGTAATCTCAAGAAGTCATCAGGTGCGCAAACCTCGAATGACTTCAGATTATAGAGAACAGCTGTGTTTTAATGGTATTTTTCAAGGCTCTGTCTTTTTTTTTTTTTTTGCTGCCAGCATAATTTGTCGTGGCAATCAGTTTCATCTCACCAAAACTTCTAATCGGGTTTCAAATCAGTCATTGATTTACCTTCACTTGGGTGAAACACCAATAAATGAATGAATTTTAGGCACTCGAAGTGAATCGTTGTAAAAATCTGTTGTATTTGACGAAAATAAGAAAATTATATTCTTGGAAAGCAAATTCTTTTCCTAGACATGGGCATTGAGCGGGATGGTCTTTAGCTTGTTGTAAAAAGTACAGCTGAATGCATGGGTAGCGTTGAGCATACCGTCTATAATCTTTGTCACCTCTCCTTCAAATTATGAACCCATGTTTAGTCCTATGGATGCTGCGACGGCTTTCTGTTACGCTCTGAGCATTTTCGACTGTCCTGAATATTAACAAAATTCGCCTTTGAAAAAGAAATTAAACAAATATCATGAGTCAAACATAACTTGAAAGGCATCTTTATACAGATAAACAAGCATTTTACATTTATGAATTAGCAATTGTCAATGATTTTGAAATTTAGTTTTATCTGTAAGGTCCGTAGTATCAGCTTGTCACTGGTGGTCCCCATGACACACGTATCAAAAGTAGGTTTCTACCTCACCACACACCTGTTTTTGAGGTAAATGAATTCGCTGCTCTTCTTCTTAAACCAGAGGCATAAAAAGTATTTACAAATAAAGAGAAGAATTTTCAAAACTAAATCCAATGCCTTAAAATGGATACCTAAAAACATCAACATATTCTGGCATACGATTATCATCATGAAAAGCAATTGGAAAAAACAAACTCACAACAAACGTGATTTCGTAAATGAATGGCATGTCCAAATCCTGACTCAGCTACCATGAAGTATCAACCAAATTGTCTCATGTCATCTTTGGTTGCTTCAAACTTACCACTAGAAATGTCATGTGGAAACTACAAGTGCGGGATTCCAGATTCTTCGCAACCAAATTGTATCCGACCGGGCGTTAAATATTATATAATTCCAAACCATGAAAGTGTGGCCTATCAATCCTTCAACATGGGGCAAGAGGTGCCAGAAAAGTTACCACATGGATAACTGGCTTGTGATGGTCAAGCCATCATAGCGATATTGCGTTTTGACTCGATGAAGTCGGCTCTTCCTATTTTATCGAAACAGGATATAGGGGACTATATTGCTTTTATTTTTATCTGTGAAAGTCTTTGTTCTCGAATTTCTTTAACTGTGAAAAGCATATGGATTCTCCCTAGGGTAAGATCTGGGGCAATCTTTACACACCACAGTATCGCAAGAACGCAGAATTTTCTCGATCATCTTGTTGTGTTGCTCTCAAATTTTCAAACACTCATACTCAGCATTAAAATAACAATTCAATTACATATTCTGGAAGGGTGTCTATCTACTCTTCATTTGCCCCCTTAGTTTCACTATATTAGATCCCTGCAGTAGTTGACAATATATCCACCGGAGCTGTTCGAAAAGAACTTAAAGACGATGCAAGACACATACATTGTGGGAGATGATAACACTCTTTCTTCTTTCATTTTGTAGGAGGTTTACGAGACTCTTGGAGCCTCTCATGCAGTTCATGTGTCCTATTTCGTACTGATGGGTTTGATATGTCACAATTCTATTCTTCACGCAATATTTTCGCGCACGATAGCTAAATTTGACAGTGCCGGGGTTACACCAAGCACTTTTTTCTAGTCACGGCGTTTTGAGGTAAACAGAGCTATCTTTTGACAAGTGTTGCGGTGATAAAAGTCTATAAAATTCAATGGCATCTAAACTAATCACATTCCAAAATGTGTTTGATTTTGTTGTTTGATATTCACTGATCGAAAAACAAAGAAAGTCGTTTATTCGCCAATTCTTCCATTACACTGTTGCGGGGGTGTCGCAGAATTTGGCAGTTTAAGTACAAGCAGGGCTATTATAGCTGCAATCTTTCCAAACGTGTCAATTGTGGTTGCACATTCGCCTTCCCTCTGAAAACCGACCTCAGTATTTAATTTTCGATTAAAGTTACGAACCTTCACATTTCCTTTTCGAATTTGGTTCAGCATACAAGCACTGCTATGCTCAAATAATCCACAAGTCATTTTTCCATGAGCTATGACAAACTTTCATATCATACTGATCAAGGTTTTTTAACCAAACAACACAACTAAAGTGATTTCATGCATATCGAGGAATGGTTGAGCGAAAAATGGAAGAACAATTTGCAAAGTTTGAGACAATCTAATATTTGTATTAGTTTTTGTCTCATTTGAATCACATTAAGATATTCAAGCTTTTCAAATTGAGATGGAAACTTTAATGTGAGCCATAATCAAAGATGCGGGTCATTTTCACGCCAACATATCCTTCATAGTAGTGCTTTCATCGATATCCAGCCTGGTTCGCAGAGATAGAGATGGTGGCAAAAGTCAATGAAGGCATACAGACGCCAAGATGTGGTATAAGTTCAGACACTTGAGACATAGAGAAAAAATCACTACCAGTGAGCAGTCGTTCCAAAAATAACAGGACCATTTTTTACAAAAGATTTTGTCGTATTCTCTACCCTGAATCGATCTTGGACCCGCCACATGCACGCAAACGCTCGTACCCTCGTGCTCGCCGTTTAACCTTCGTACCCGCTATACGACACCTACAAGCAACATATTGCTCGCAGTCCCTCATTGAACTCACCTACGTACTTCGGGAACAAACAAAAGACATCAGTTAAAATGGTGAGGTATGTTCATTCTTGGCTTGATTTTTTCGTTAAAGACAGATCAGTAAGAAACTAGAAAGCCCGATCGCCTTCAGCTCTATTTTGCACGCTACATTCGCTTTTCGGGACGTTTTTGGCGCAGTGATGAGCCAATGCAGATATTGTCTATACGTTCTTGATAAGCGCCAAAATCTCGTGAGGCTAGAGAGTGCGTTTTCCAAATCATTAGAGTTCCATGTAAACTAACCAACATAGTGCAGTATATCACGATTATACTGGTTTTACGAATGTAACGACGTTTGCAGACGCGTATCAAAATTTTGATCAAATCGGAAGCTTGAACGCCCTTGAAAAATTGTGGGGTGCTTACTATCTTTACATGGACAATGATATTTTCGCCACTGGATTGTTCTTTTTCTTAATGCATGAGATTATGTACTTTGGCAGGTGCTTACCTTGGGCGATTATCGACAGAATTCCATACTTCAGAAAGTACAAGATTCAAGACAGCAAGGTTCCAAGCAACAAAGAGCAGTGGGAATGCCTCAAGTCGGTTCTAATCTCCCACTTCATGGTTGAGGCTTTCCCTATTTGGTTTTTTCATCCTGTCAGTGCAAAAATTGGCATGGCCTTCGACCTCCCATTTCCATCTGTCTTCAAGGTTCTTTCCCAGTTGTCAATTTTTTTCGTGATGGAAGACGCATGGCACTATTGGTTGCACAGAGGTTTACATCATGGCGTATTTTACAAGTACATCCATAAGCAACATCACCGCTATGCAGCTCCATTTGGTTTGGCTGCTGAATATGCACATCCAGTAGAGGTTGCTCTATTGGGAATAGGCACAGTTGGTCTTCCTATGATATGGTGTTACTTTACGCAGGACTTGCATTTGTTCACGATTACCCTTTGGATCTGTTTGAGATTGTTTCAAGCAGTTGACGCCCATTCGGGGTACGAGTTTCCTTGGTCTTTGCATCACTTTCTTCCTTTCTGGGCAGGTGCTGACCATCACGATGAACACCATCACTACTTCATTGGTTCGTACTCGTCGAGCTTTAGGTGGTGGGATTTTGTTTTGAACACGGAAGCTGGACCGAAGGGAAAGCAGCTGAGAGAGGACAAGATGAAACTGAAGGCCGAAAAGAAGGTTCAGTAATCAATCGGTTGGTTACTGACTAAATCATCTTTTGTGAATGCTGTAGGATTTAATGTGCGTCATTTAGTACTTGTCTTATACTACTAAATGGATCAAAAGATTATATAGAAATTGAATAAAGCTCAAGTATTTGAGAATACAAGACACAAGTTTGACAAAAGATATGTGCTTCTGTAGGTCTTTTTTTTGTGTCACTCGATTCAAAAATGAATGGTCAGGTTGTTCACCCCTCACAGCACATTTGATACAGAGCAACATTCCTGAGAAGTTCATTTTTGGAATCGAACCCAGTTCAAATAGTCTTCTCTTGAGCGACGTATATCCATCAATTCCACGCGAGATTCAAGAATTTCATACGCTGATATTTCCAAGCTATTGTTGGTCAGCACGGCTTCCGAGATACTAATGGGTCCCAAGTACTTGTTCGGCGGTGAAATTATCTGAGCGCTGATGACCGCGAGACGGTCTGAATTTTTCAAACTCTGTATCGTTCCAAAGTTCAAGAGAACGAGTCCCAGCAACATCTCATATATTATGTCACGAGGTATGACTGTTACACCCTTTAGAAGTTGATGGTGTTCGTAGGATGAATAAGCAGCATGCAAAAGAAGCATAAACCCTAGTATACTGAGCATCCTAGATGGCTCTCAATTCAACTCAATGTGTTCGAGGGAAGCTAATGAAATATGAAATATGATATACAACCGCCGAATTCCCCCGCTTGTACGTCTTCGACGCGGTAGGAGATGGTTTATACTGGAACGCGCGAAAATATACAGGGCATACATCCCCAGTAGATGATGTCAAATTTTAAATTTTAAATTGAAAAAATACTCGACTCAATCGACATACCCTATACTTGCTATATGTAGCGTAGAGATGTTTTGAGAAATTAAAAAATATCAGATTCATGTATCCCTTTGTCAATGGTGGTGGTTTCGACAAGGTACAAGATATTAAAAAAAGCAATAACTCCAAAGCTAGAAAAAACAGCCCACAGCAGCAAATAAGTTACGAAGATATCAAGTCCTTCATGTCAAGAAACTTCAAATTAGCCTTAGCCTTTTCCCTCCAATTCGCGCTGTTGCAGAATGAAGAATATGACCATGTCAAATCTTCTGCTCCTTGCATATAGCCCGTATACTTGTTGAATTGTTCCAGCATGTGGCCATTTGAGTCTATATGATCTCTTATCACTTTCATAAAAGTGTCAGAGTACAAAAAGATATCTCGAAGTATGTGTTTATACTCCTCAGATCCATACTCGATTGTTCGGATTTCATCATCCAGAGAATCTTCATCAAGTAGGCCATCAACAAAAAGTGAGTAAAATTCTCTTGTTTCTGCAAGAATCAATATGTCGCTTTTCTCTGCTATCGCTTTGTATACTAGCTTGTATAAAGCTTCAGACGCGGAAGCGGTGCAAATGAACCATGGATTGCCTTCGGTAGTGGAATATCCATCATATATATCCTCGGGGTAACGTCCCAATCCGGCCCCTTGTTGGGACTTACCGATATATTTGTGATTAACAGGATATCTAAATTTCATATCTGTCACCATTGCCATAATTGTATTTAATATGTGACTGTCGTCAACATCAAATGGTACATCTAGATTGCCTCCTGTTTCCATGCCATGTGCATGCAAGGAACCAAGCAATGTGGCGGCATCCAAACCAGACCTCTTGCCCAGATGAAAAAGCGAAGGTGTTTCTATAATGTAAGGTACTTTGGGTGTTCTGAACCCAGTATCATAACTCAACACAAATGCCTTAAGCTCTTTAAACTGATTTTCTAAAGCCTCCGAAAAATCCGGGGACTCTTCAAAAACAGTGGAGAGATATATTCCATCTCTGATCCCCCTGAGCTGTACTAAAGCATTAAAAAAATGAAATGAGTTTACCTCTTCCCATAAGTCGAACAGTACCCGATTCCAGTTTTCCATCACATATTCTAAGTCTGGCTTGATTATTTTATGATAGATGTTTGATGCGTTTCCCAAAAATTGATTATCGATCAGTTCACCCAGGTGCTCTAGAAACTTAAGATAGTACGCAATTGTCAGAATGCGCAAGGCAGGTCCATCTGACTGGGGTCTTCCCCATGGTTCATTGAAGGGAAGACCATTTGGCATGAATTTTGGTTCTCCCAATGAAGCTCTTCGCTTGTCATGGAAATTACCAGACAAATTCGGTTGCCTTTGGAGGTAATAATTGGCCTCGATGTACAGTTCAATTATCTGCTTGAAAGAAATCAGAGAATTTTCTTGTGAATCATCTAAAATGTGGATAAAGGATCGAATTGTCAATGCGGAGTCCCTAATCCAATTGAAGAGGTAATTTGGATTTCTTCGCAGCTGAGAAGCGACCACTAGTCCTTCGGAAACCTCACTCGCATTTAGTATTGTCAGAATCCCTCCGATATTTTCAAGCATAAAGAAAAGAGACCGATTGGCATGCTCAGCTAGCCACGAATCAAATTCAGTATCCTCAACAAGGATATCATATTCTTGTGTAGCGATGAATGGCTCATATATTTCTTGGTTGGAGACATCAGAGATTTTCTTGTCACTTCGGTGAAATTCTTTGGACGACTCGAAGCTGAATCCGATCTGCTTCAAGGCTCTTCCTCCAGAGATAAACTTTGAAGGTAGAGCCAAAATTGGTAAAGCCACGAAAACAAAGAATAGCATGGAATCTTTTGTCTTCTACTGTTTCCAATATTGACTAAAATTTTTCAAAGCCCGATGGATGATACTTATCTTTGTGACGGAGCAAAATAGGTCTCGGAGAGCTAGCTTCAACGTATGTATCAAGTTAGACCCTTCGCGATTGCTATATAATACGAGCAAGTCGGCCAATGTTTCGTATTTTTACGGTGGTATAAACAAGGAAAATATAACTTTGAATTTGTCAGAAAAAAACGAACTTGGTTGCACTCGCGAAGTGTGGGGTATTAAATAGCTTGAAAAAAAGTACAGATAAGGACTCTTGCTGAGCGCGTGACTTCTCGCTCAGAAGCAACAAAACAATAAGTGGCGAAAATTGAAAGTTCTTCTGCAAAAACCGCTTTATGATGTATTCTTAAAATTATAAAAAAGAGTAGACTATTTCAGACTTCGCCCGAGTAAAAATATCAATTCGGCTCACGTAGTTGTGGTTCCCGTCACTCCTACCGCAGGTCATTTTACCATCAACAAAACTCAGGAAAAGGTTCTAAAATATTCATTTGTCCATATTGTTGGTTGTTTCGAATGAGGACATGTTTGTGAAATCACAGGGCTTTCGTTTATAGCATTGTGGGCTGCGATCAAGTAACTCGTAAAGCTCTTTAGACTCTAGAAATTGACCTCTTTTTTCGGCTTTTCCCAAAACAACGGAATTAATGTGAGTTGAGTTTAAAAATTTGGGTCCATGTCCGTGTACATTCAAACGCCTTCCTAAATCAAAAATACTGCCAAATGACTTTATTGCAGTCATATCCACGTTCTCCGAAGCTAATTTTTTTGCCATTTTTCCCAACTGGAAATGGCCCAGCTCAATCACTAGCTTCTCTAAAGCCCTTTTGCTGAAGCTTCTCATTATCAATAGTTCCTCAATTGAGTTTCTGACGACAAATCGAAACACCTTAACTGGTCTTGTTTGCCCTATGCGGTGTACCCTGTCGATTGCTTGAAGATCCATCTGCGGATTCCAATCGTTGTCAAACAAGATTACGGTGTCTGCCTGAATTAGGTTCAATCCCAACCCTCCAGCGCGTGTGGAAAGTAGAAACAATTGAGAAGAGCCATTGCTAAACAACTCAATTTGTTTAGTTCTATCTATCTGGTCCATTCTTCCGTCAAGACGACTGAAACTAATGCCTTTTTGTTGGAAATGTAGTGCAATAAGATCCAACACTCGTGTGAACTGAGAAAAAATAAGGATTTTATGTCTTTTGGCCAAGAGTTTGTCAGTTATCTGTTCTAGTAATTGTAATTTTCCGGAGTTTTCAAGGAGCAAATCGGCCAATTTCTTGTCATAACTGCTCTCACCCGCACACTCAACGGGAAACGGTTCATAGTATGTGTAATGTGAAGCACAAATACTGCGAAGTTGCATTACACCGTTCTGTAGCAGAAGGTTCTTCACGTATGCTTCTATTACACGTAGAGAACCGTTAATCAATTTCTCAGGCAGCTTCTCAGATAATAGTTCATGGAGAGAACCTTCTATATTCCTATATTCCTTTGAATTATTCATGGAATCAGAACATGAAGCAACATCACGCACATCATCAAATCTGAATTTCGAATTCTTGTCTTTTTCAAGGTCGTGAGTTTCATTCAGGTTTGAGTCGCCATCAGTTTCACTTTCTGCGAACTCGTCTGATTGGATCTCATCATTATATATCACTCTTTTTCTCTTCTTGAGCTCAATTGGACGGAATCTATTCCTCAATATTTCGTCAACATGACTCAAACCTTCCTCATCGTGTACAATGTGGCTGTGATTAAGAATCAAGTATTCTTTGAGATATATTTGTACGATCGTATGGAAAAGCGTACCATCCGTGACTCCCCGATAAAATAAATTTTGCATAGGTGTGAGATCGGCATAGATAAGATATTCCTTTTTCGGAGGTAAGTCTTTGACAACAATTTCTTTCACTCTTCGCAAAAGAAATGGCTTTAAAATGGAGTGAAGCTGTTTGACAAACTCCGTTTGGATCTTATCATAGATCTTTTTTTTTTCTTTTTCCTCAATTTCACCAGCACTTGAATCTGCAAGTTTCTCAAAATCAAACCACGACTCAAAGAGGTCTAAATCATGGAAAATGTCGGGAAGAATGAAGTTTAGCAATGACCAGAGCTCCTTGAGGTTATTTTGCAACGGAGTTCCCGTGAGAAGTAGCCTATTCCCAACATGTAACTTCTTTAAGCTCCTAATGAGCACTGACTGAAAGTTTTTAAGCCGATGTCCCTCATCCACAGTTAAATATTCCCAACTGAGCCTCGCAAACTTCGAAAAGTCTCTAATTATTATTTCATATGACGTCACCACGATGCATTTCAGGTTCTTCAGATTGAATTTAATCTTTGCCCTCGTATCTTTATTACCGACATACTTTAGGACACTCATTCCTGGTGCGAATTTTTCGAATTCATTGCACCAATTCGCCACTGTTGATAAAGGTGCTACTACTAGAAATGGACCTTTGACTCCATGTTCAATCAAATATCCATAGAGAGCAATACACTGTAGGGTTTTTCCCAATCCCATTTCATCAGCTAGTATTCCATTTAGACCATTTTCGTATAGAGACACGAGCCATGTCAAGCCATCTAGTTGATAGTCTTTCATGGTACAACCTGAAATAATAATTGGTTGCTGATGATTTTGATCTGCTTGATCAGACTCTAAATTCCTTTTGTTTCGTATGGTATGCAGAGTACCCATTATTTGTAATTCTGCATTCAGATCTATATCTCCGGTCATTTTGCGTTTTTTTACAATCTTGGGCTGGGCTGCACGATTTCTTGTCAAAGACAAGTTCTTGAAATTTGAAGCTCTTGGTGCAGTAAGACCCGAATCGTCTCTTCTCGCGAGTGACTTCGTATCATCAAGGTCATCGGATTCGACATCTAATTTGGACGTGGTACTTGTTTTTTTCCTGGAACCTTTCCTCTGGTCAACATTTTTTTCCAGAGCTTTTTTCATCATGTTTTCCAACATTACTTGTGAATATATTTGTGACTGTTGTACGAGTTGGTTCAAGCGCTCGAACTTTGCCTCCATTGGCAACGCGTTAAAAAGTTGCTGCTCCTTCGAAGGTTTTTCGCCTTTGACGAGAGATTCTAGACCATAATCCAGGTCTACTTCTTCTCCTTTATCATGAAGCATTGCGTCTTACGTCAGGTTCAAGAACGTGTGGATACTTGGCGAGATCTAAAATTTAGTGGGCGCACGAAATCATCGTGGCGCTTCGGTGAGCTGACAGCTGCACCCACCTGCGAAATTCCGTGCCGGGATATGTATAGCACGTGGGAATCATGTAAAAAGACTTTTCACATGTGCTACAATGAGGCTAAAAGTTTATGCTGCGTAATCGGACAGTAATTTTATTCCTGAACTGCTAAATACATGCCGTTTGTTGTCACATGAAAAATTTAGAATACTTTGCCTTTTCGGCATCTTTTTGTTTTTGAAGCAAGCCTTCAGCTCGAACTAATTCCCTTTTTATAGCTAAATCATCTGAATTCTCGCCTGCCTTACTCAATATAGTAACAGCTTCTTTGTACTTTCTCACAGAAATCATGGCCTGTCCTAATCTGTATAGCGTTTTAGATCTCTCTGGTGCAGAAAGATTCATATCTAAAAGAAAAGTACAATAATCAACGCACTTCATGTAATCTTTGATTTTAAGACATGATAATGACAAGTTGAGATATACTTTCTTCTTCAAGTCAGCAAATTTCGAAAAATATTCTGGCTCTTGATCTTCATCGGGAATGTATTCCATGATATAACGTAGGCATTTCTTAAATTTGAAAATTGCATTCTTGAAGTCACCAGTTTTTATCAAAGCCGCACCACTCTCTTTGATAATCAAAGACGCATCGTAAACTGATCTTGATGAGTCCTTTTGGATGTGTTCGTCATCATCTGGGTATTCTTCGTAAATATCACCAGCTATCTGATCATAACATGCATTCATTATCGGTACAGGATCCCCTTCGTTCCATTCTCCAAACTTAACAATCACTGGAAGTTCATCTTCAAGAGGCACATTTTCTGGGGTTGTCCTCACTCTCTCGATTCCTCGTATCACGGATTTCCCAAACTTCACTTTACCAAAAACAGTGTGCTTTCCGCTTAAGTGTGATGCAGAAGCAGTTGTTATGAAAAATTGTGATCCATTAGAATTGTGCCCAGAATTTGCCATGCAAAGAAAAAAGGGTTCGTCTAAGCTTTGCTCTAAGTTCTCATCTTTAAATGATACCCCATCAGGATGAAGCCCCGCTCCCACATTGATATAGTTATATTTACTTGCCTGTGCATAAACGATATCCCCACCTTGAATCATGAAGTTTTTTATGACTCTATGAAAGTACGTGCCTTCATATTTGGGACCGAGCTTATAAAAGTTCTCACATGCGATTGGAGCTTTGCTTTCGAACAATTGTATGACAACTCTACCAACTGGCGACCCAGAGATCTCGATATCAAAAAAAACTTGACGCTCAAGAGTCTCAAATTTCATTGTAGGTCTTGACAAAATTGGTGGGTACCTCGATAAACTTGGTTTTGTGATGAGTTTGGGTTCCACTAACTTGAGATTATTTGGAGAATCCTCTCTTTTTTCGGCGGAGTGCACTATGTACCTCAGTGAGAAAAGCGATGGATCAAAATTTGTTCTTACCCTGTTCATCCTGCAAATTTCAATCAAACTATTGTACAAAAAGAAAAGCTTACAGCAGTTTTCAAATATTTAGTCGACATCTCTGGGGAGAAAAATCAACATTTTGCTTAATGCTACGCGGACCTAATAGAGTGCCATACGCCGTCAGGTACATTGTCCATTCCGCTCGTACAGCTTCTTATCAACTTCAGCTTGAAAAATCAGTGGAAAATATTTACGCACTTCTTGAGGCAAACGATAGACTGTCTTATCTTTTGGCACAATATATTCCGGAACCAGCTAGGAATGCTTTCATCGCAATTCGGGCTTTCGCTCTCGAAATCAACAAGATAACTGATGGTGGTAGTATGGATGGCCGTGCCGCCAAAGCGCTGAATCAATTGAGCAAGTCTACTGGAATGACCACAGCAGACATGAAATTCAAATTTTGGAGCGAGCTTTTGGTCAAATCGTTTTCTGATAAGGATGATATAGGTGAGCCTGTAGCGTTTTTGCTACGTGATGCGCTTAGAAATGGTCTCAATTTGGACATTGTCTATTTTCATCAATTCTTGCAAACAAGAAGGCATTTTCTCAAAAGCCAGCAATTTTCAACGGTCTCAGATATATGTTCGTATGGGGAAGGGACATACTCGCAGCTTAACTATGCCACTCAGTCGATTCTATTATCACCTCAAATTTCACCTTCTGTTATTCACATGTTGGAGTTGTCAACAACGCTTCAAAGTAAAGTCAGCGATATTGCCGCTCATATTGGCCAGGCAACTGCAGTTAGTTCAATGATTTTAGGGATGAACTTTTACGCTTCAACAAGAAACCAAGTGACACTTCCCGTTAATATCATGACCAAGCACGAGCTATCTCAAGAAGCGCTCTTAAGATTGTCTCAAGGACACACAAAAAATGAAGGAGAGATTAAAGACACCCGAGATCGGTTGAAGAATGTTATCTTCGAAACAGCAATTACTGCCAATGATCATCTCCTTTCTGCGCGGCAAAAATTGAAGCAAGTCAAAGAGGACATTGCCGAAATTCTTGAACAAAGACCAAGAGACACTTTACTTATCACAAACAGTAAAAATTGGAGAAAAGGGCTACCAGATGTCATTTTTGTTCCTTTTATGCTTGCCATTCCAACTTCTCTTTATTTACAACGGCTCGAGAAGCATGATTTTGATGTATACAGTAAAAAACTTCAGCACAAAGAGTGGAGGTTGGCATGGAACTCTTTCAGAAATTATTACCAAAGGCGAATTTGATACAAGCCTTGTGCATTTGTAATCAAACGTTGATTATTGACCACCCTTGTGAGTTGCTTAGTTCTCTAGGCACAGGAGGATTCTTTACAGTGAGCAAAACATTATAGTTTGAATACAGAAATAGATTGGTCTATTCAACACTACATCTAACTACTTATTCTGGTTGAGAGGCAACGTTCTGCTTCTTCTTCTTTTTCTTGTTTTTACCCTGGGGTGGCAACGGGGTGGCAATGAGACTGAGAATCTCTTCGTCTTCTAATTTTTTCTCGGTGCGGTAAAATGTGTCATTGAAACCTGGAGAAGTTAATTTCACAAGCCCTTCAGGGGTTATGGCAACCGTTGTGAAGTATTGAGCAATAAATTCAGAGGACTTGTCTTCCATTATGTCATATGGCAAAACAACTTCGTGGTTGCTGCACTCAATCAAACCAACACGCACCTTTCTTGGTTCATCAAAAATCTTTACATTTGCGGGAAATGGGCCCGTAACTTTTTCCCTAAATTGTTTTAACGCGTCTTGAGATGTCTTCAATCTCAAGGAATAATTGTTACCAGTTAATTTGTGAAGAGTGGTTCTGTACTTAGACTTCTTGACCTTTCCTTCACCAGACGTGGAGATCAAAATGTCCAATCCATAAACCTCAGATTCTTTGAAGACGTATGTTTCCACTTGATTCTTGTGTTCTTTTGAAGGGTTCAAGATAATTTCCTTTGAACCGTACAAAACATCCTTCTCCATGTTGTGAGACAACATCGATTGTACAGCAGAAGTGCCAAAACTCTTGGCAATCTTGTCAACGGTGTTCGTAATTTCCCAATTTTTATTTCCAGGTTTCAAGAGTCTAATCGCTGCCTCACTGGCATTCCAAGCAGAGTGAAGCAAGTCTGCCTTTTGTCCCGTGACCGGCGAGTCCGCCGATTCACCGACAACTAATGTTTCTGCAATAATTGCAGGGTATCCTTCTATTTGGACGCCAAGCATGATGTTGACAACATCACCATTTTTGAGAGTAAAATTTGTCTCATCTTGGGAATTTTCAGGGGAGCAATGGGCAGGGATATTATTTGGATTGACGCAGGTAGGGAACGCAATGCCTTTCGAGATCTTCTTGCCAACGGAAGAGCGGAGTGCATCAGTCATGGTTTTATCACCTAGTTCACATAAGTCAAACACCTTAGCTCCCTCTTTGACAGCTGCTCTGACTGTCTCGATGGCATGATTGGAGATATTTCCTCCAACCTTATACTTGGCCACGACGTCAGGATTAGCAATTGAAATATCAGATTCGAGTTCTTAGAAGGTCAGTCGCCTATTTATGAAAAGCATTTGGTGAATATTTATCAACATACCTTTTGATGACATCTTTGAGTACTCTGAGGACAAGTGCAACTTTTTCTTTTTCCATCAGTCAGTCGGTTGCTTATATGTAGGTATATACATCACAATCCAAGGAGTGAGAGCCGTTTGGTTGTGAGTAACAATCAAGTGTACGATATCGGATGAATTGACTCTTTGAATGCATGGATGAAATACGTAGCAACTCGTATATATATGATTCAAGCGATACAATACTTTGTGTTATTTTCTTCTTCTCGATAGACATTTCAATATGTCATAAAGTGTAACCTACGAGAATGAACAGTGATTCATCCAAATTCTGCCTCGCGATTATTACGAGGCATTTCTTTTCCTTCCATGTAAATAGACGATCTAAACTGTGTCATTCTAACAAATATATACCATTTGTGCTCTTGCTTTTCGAATACGTGCACCTTTGTCGTTCGAAATGCGCACGTGAGGCTGGATATCCAGCACAGGCAACACGAAGGCTGCGGGCGTGAACAACAATTAAACCGATCAACTATTGCACCAACTCACCTTTAGAACTAGAGCGCTGTAATAATCATAGATATCGAAGGTCTTCAAGCACGATGTCCCAAGAAAGACGTAGACTCTTTGGCTCCAAGATATCTTCTATCTTCTCATCAAGTGATACACATCACCATTCCAAAGGGAGTGAGCAAAGTCTTTCGCATACTCTGCCTTTAGGAACAAAGGTTGTGGGGACAGTTTCTGATTCATCTGACTGGAAGTCAATTCACCACCCACAGCCTACTGGAACTTTGACTCCGGAAAAAGATGTGCGGTCTCAAATAGTAGATGCTTCTCGCAGTTCAAGAGACAAAACTACAGACAACAGGAATCCACCGCAAGTGCGTCGAACAAATTCATCATCATATATTCAATCTTCAGACGGTGGTACCTCGAGCAGCCAAAACCATATCAAACAAACTGATCACGATTTGTCTGAGGTTTGGGCAAACAAATCGCCCCGTGCGAAGTTAATCAGAAAACCACCTCCATCTAATTCACAATATCAAATACCTTCGAAGAAATCAGGGGCGTCCAATTTGGAAGCTGAATCAAAATCAACACATCAATTGAACGATGTCATAAATACTATTGAGAAAGAGATCATTCGTATGAGGGCTGAACCAGATGAACTGTCCAATGGTTCTCATAGCAGTCACCCGAAGTTATCGGCTGTACAATCTTCGGATAAAACTCGCCCGTTAAAAATTTCTAATTCTTCTAAAGGCCACAATACATATTTCTCGGTTCCTGAGGTAGCAGCTGTTGACCTTGTGAATTCTCAAGATGTCAATGAGGGCATCTTAATATCATCTGATGTGGCCTCATTCGCACTGTATGACCAACTTGGTAAAAATCAACCGCATAATCAAAAAGTTGGTTCAACACCACATGAAATAAGCAAAAGAAGAGATGTTAACTACCAATTATATGCTAACATGCAATTTCAATTTTCTTCCCCTTCAGTGGTCCAAGAAGACGATCGCCAATCAACACGCGCTACAAATACAGTTGCAATGAAAAGGGGGTTGGATGACCCAAACAAATATTTCTCCCAAACAATTCTGAGCCCAGAAAGTGCCTATTCGAGCACAGAGGATGTGAGGTACAAAGACTTATCCCCCGGAATATCTTCATCTAATCAAAGTTTATACTCTAAGGAGCGGAGAAACAGTGACCAGTCTCTACGGAGAAGTTTTCGCTCTATTAAAATTGACAGAAATTTGAATGATGCAATTGATAGTTCAACTTTGACTAAACATTCCAAAAATGGTTTCGAGCCTAAATTTGAAAATTCCGGACAATACGATGACAGAATTTGCGACTTCCACGGTGGGGCCAAAAATTCAAGGACCACTGCAGCCGACATATCTCCGCATCCCTCAAAAAACTTCGTGGTCAATTCTGATCAGAGATTCACTTCCGATTTGGATTCAAGCAATGGTGCAGGATCTGAATTTGCCGGTGATTGGGACGACGTCGTCGGGCAGTCAAATCAAAAAGCATTCGAAGATTCAAGCCACATTTTCAAAGACCAAACATCACAAAATCTGTGTCTGCATTCGAAAACCGGAAGTTTGACAGAAAATATGAATCAACTGGTGCTGCAGGCTCATCATATGAGGACCCACACCAGAATGCTGTCTGTAAGCTCGGTAAATAGCGCGGGATTCAATCGTCATGTCAGCTTGGCCACACTCAAAATGACTTTTAGTCTCCGCCCGGGTGAGGGGGAAAAGTCTAGCTACGTCGATGCAATAAGAAGGAATGCTGGTACATCATTTAATGAAGCGGGACCGGGTAAATGGAAGCTACCAACCGGTATTTTGCCTGTTAATAAGCGTGAGTTGCTACAGCAGAACAGCAAGAAATTCAACAGCACTGCCAGTGGCACGGGATACAAAAGCAAGAAGTCTAGTGGTGTGGAGCTCAAACACGGTCACTTGCAGCCAAGACTATTAGCTGCTGAGGTAGATGACGGTGACAGCAACAACCGGTTTGGAGCTCTTGGGCGCTCAAGCACACTACAAAACAAAGCACTAACTCCTATTACCTCAAAATCGTCATTACCACCTTCTGGGTTGGGTGGAATTTCCAGAGGGAACTCGCTCGAGCGAGCTGACACATTCACGTCAACTTCTACAGCAAATGACTTACAGAGCTCACTCAGTAAGATATCTAGCACACGCCGTGGTAGCGATTTGTCTTCTGCTGATTCCATCGGCAGTATTACCAATGATCGAGATATGGATATTTACTACCAACACCAGGGGTTCAAACTTGAGGATGACGAGGATTTCCTAGAAAATGAAGATTTAAGTTGCGGCGTTGAAGATCAGATGACTCAAAACAATTACACAAGCGATGACGAAAAACCTCGACTATTCCTCGCGAACCCAGATTCAGACTAAATCGTTGTATCCACAAATTGATACTTTCTCTGAGCGTTGTGGACAGAAACAATGTAAAATGATATGTATATACATGCGAGATATCCTGTATCAGTAATCGTGTAACATGCTCTTGAAACTACTGCAAATAAATTCCTAGCACGAGCAAGAGATCGCCTGACAACCCTATTATTGGGGTAGATAATGATCGTTTCATGTCCTGCATTTGGTCCATGTCACATGACCCAATTTCCTCCACGGTGTTAACCTCGCCAAAAAAACAAAGAACGTCCACCACATCCTAGAAGAGGAACACTCATTCATTGCTTGCCAAGATGTCTAACTCGGGATACACTTTGATTTACGAACCCGACACGGCGGGGAAGAAGTCTGTCAATGAGTTGAAGTCTCTATTGGAGAAGTCAAAAGACGACATCAAAATCTCAGCCATGAAGCAGATCATTGTCTCCGTTCTAAACGGAGACTCCATGCCAGAGTTGTTGATGCATATCATCCGCTTTGTTATGCCTTCTAAAAATAAGGAATTGAAAAAATTGTTGTATTTTTATTGGGAGGTATGCCCAAAGCATGATGAAGAAGGTAAAATGAGACACGAGATGATTCTTGTTTGTAACGCAATTCAGCACGATTTGCAGCACCCGAACGAATATATTCGGGGTAACACTTTGAGATTTTTGTGCAAATTGAAAGAACCCGAGCTTTTGGAGACATTAGTGCCCAACGTGCGCCAGTGTTTGCTTCATCGTCACGCATATGTGAGAAAAAATGCAGTATTTGCCCTTTATTCGATCTACAAGGTCTCAGATCATTTGATTCCAGACGCCCCAGCTTTGATTTCTGGGTTTTTAACCGAAGAATTTGACTCTGTCTGCAAGAGAAACGCATTTGTCTGTTTAGGTGAATTAGACAGAAGTGCGGCTTTGCAATTCATGCAAGACGATGTTTACTCCATTGAGAATTTAGACCCTATTTTGCAGTTGGCATTCGTGGAATTTATCAGAAAAGATGCGAATTCCTCGTCAAGCTCGAAACTGCAATATGCCATCCTCATTGGCGCTATTCTTGAAACTTCGTCAGATGTAGTTGTTTACGAGGCAGCGATTACTTTGACTGTGTTGTCTACCTCATCGCAGTCCATAGTGTTGGCTGGCTCAAAGTTCGTTGAGTTAGCCACCAAAGAAACCGACAACAATGTCAAAATCATAACGTTGGAGCGCATCAACGAGTTAAACAAAAAACACCCTGGTCTTTTGCATGGATTGTCTTTGGACATTTTAGGCGTTTTATCCACTCAAGACATCACCGTTCGCCGTAAAGCGCTTGAGGTCACTCTCCTGTTAATCAGCAGCAGAAATGTTGAGGATGTTGTCAAATTGTTGAAAAATGAGTTGCACAGGTCATCTTCATCCACAGATGACAAAAGCTCTGAATACAGACAGCTATTGGTCAACGCAATTCATCAACTTGCTATTAACTTCGGTGAGGTAGCCACAAATGTGATTGATTTATTGTTGGAGTCAATGGGTGATCTTTCGACCAGTGCAGCATCTGACGTGATAACATTCGTCAAGGAGGTGGTCGAAAAATTCCCGAACTCAAAAGGTATGATCATAAAAAAGTTGGTAACAAGTATGACAGGTGTGAAATCTGGAAAGGTTTACCGTGGTGCGCTTTGGATTTTGGGTGAATATTCCGAAGATGAACCATCGATAAAAGAATCGTGGAAATTTTTAAGATCTAGTATCGGTGAAGTACCTATCTTTGCTGATGAAGAAAAACATGGCGATGATGTGAAAGAATCAAGTGACCCTGCAGAACATGCTTCTGCGGGAAATACTAGGAAAGGGCCCATCATTTTACCGGATGGGACTTATGCAACAGAAAACGCTTTGACAACAGCACACGCATCTTCTGACAATGAAGATGAGTTTCCTATTAGAAAGCTTGTATTGACTGGCGATTTTTACTTGGCTTCAGTGCTTTCTTCGACATTTGTGAAACTAGTCTTGAGGTTGGAGCGTCTTCAAACCACTGAAAAACACTTAAATGCATTGAAAGCAGAGGCCTTGTTGATCATGGTCTCTATTTTGAGATTCGGGGAGTCTGCGTTTACGCCTAAGAAAATTGATGAAGACTCTGCCGACCGGATACTCGCTTGTGTCAAGTTTTTGACTGATGCGGAGGACACCGACATAATTTCAAAAGGCTTTTTGGATGACACCAAAGACGCATTCAAATCCCAAATTAGAGGCGAACAAGAAATTAAGTCTAAGGAACAAGCGAGGGACTTTCATAGTAAAGCTGCCCGGGTCGACGACGCTATCACCTTCAGACAGTTTGAAAAATATGATGGCTCCAAGATTGCTGATGATGAGGAATCGTTGGCTCTTACTGGAGCTGTAAAAAGCGAGAATTTGATCTCCAAACTCAACAAGATTTTGCAGTTAACTGGGTTTTCTGATCCGATATATGCCGAGGCTTTCGTAAAGGTACACCAATTTGATGTCACCTTGGATGTGTTATTGGTGAATCAAACGACAACAACCATGCGCAATTTGTCTGTGGAGTTTGCTACTTTAGGTGATCTTAAGGTGGTTGATAAACCCTCGTCGGTGAACATAGGGCCACATGGCTTCCATAAAGTTTCAGTGACCGTTAAAGTGACTTCTGCAGATACTGGTGTTATATTCGGGAATATTGTTTACGACGGAAGACACTCTGATGAATCGACAATTGTCATACTCAATGATGTTCATGTCGATATTATGGATTACATCAAACCAGCCACATGCTCCGAGAGTGTATTTCGCAAAATGTGGAATGAGTTTGAATGGGAAAACAAGATAACGATTAAATCTCAGATGAGCTCTCTTAAAGATTATTTGGAAGAATTAATAGCAGGTACAAATATGACCTGCCTAACGCCTGGTGCCATCGCTGGTGAGGAGTGTCACTTTTTAGCTGCCAACTTATATTCTCGCTCATCCTTTGGAGAAGATGCTTTAGCAAATTTGTGCATTGAGAAACAAATTGATGGTCCTATTATTGGGCACGTCAGAATCAGATCTAAAGGTCAAGGATTGGCTTTATCATTAGGCGATCGTGTTGCGTCAATATCACGCAAAACAAAGGTTGACGAAGTAACCAGTGTTTAAAAAAAGAATAGTATTTAGGTCTTGTTAATTTTGTATGGACATTAATGTTTTCGATGAAACAATTTAGTAAATAACCAATTAAGATATAACTAGAAAAATACGGTCTGTCATGGGCCATCTCCTTGGTTGGACACAGAAGGTTTCGAACATTTGAGATAAGAAGTTTGGTAAATAAGCTTGAGCACATTGGAATTCTCCTCATCGCACTTCTGGTTATCTTTATCAGACCGAACTTTAAGAGAGTCTCCATCGTGTAAATTTATGACAGGGAGCGTCACGATACGATCGTCTGAGATATACCTCTGATACAGAAATCGACCAAATATTGAACATAATGTTTTGTATAAAGAGAGAAAGTCTCCTCTCAATTTCATGATTTTGAGACCAGAATTTCTCTCATATTGACTCCAATCAATAAAGCCACTTGTGAAATCATCGAATACAGCCCCTATGGTTTGGTCATCGACTTCGATCAACACACAAAGCTGATAATTTTGTGATTTTAAGGTAAAAGGCTCAATTTTCAAGATGTTATTCGCTCCTGAGTTCATCATAAACGATATGTAGAGAGCACACCGCGAGACACAACTCAACCTGCCGTGAAGTGTAACGATTCTGTCAACACTGAGGGAAGAGGCCTCGGATATATAGATAGATTCGACATTGAAGTCATTTCGTAGAAGGTCTTGTGCGGCTGGTGTCAAAATGTCTGCCTCGGAATCGCAAAGAATCATTTTGATACATGCTGGACGTTGACCTGAATCACCCTCTTCGATACGGTTGAGATATTGCTTCACTTTGGAGCTCTCGACCACGTTGTTGGGCACAGACTTGCGAAGCTGAAAGTCATCTACAAGATTTCCCAAAAGAGTCAGACAAAATTTTATCTTCTCTAATTTTCGTTTTCTGAAGTTCCCACCTCCCGAACCTGTAGCTGACATAACTGGGTAACGGTCATCTCGAGCATGTTCGGCCACTCCACTCAATGGTGCTTCTCACTACCTTAGGATGTAAGGATGTGTTGTCTGAACTTGCTTGTAATTTTAATCAAGGATCAAAAGCTAAAATGTTAAAATGATTTGACTGCATGGGTTGAGCTTAGCCGTAAAACCTCGGGTCTCTTTTTTGTTTTTGAGATGGTCAATCTTTTTGAACGGTTCTCTGTTGATCCTTCCCCAGTCCCATACATACGAGTTTAGGATATTCTACGATGAAACATCAACACATAAAAATAAAAAACTAACTACATTAGTACTCTGTGGATAAAGCATGGTATTATCGCCTGGCCAGATCTCTGTCCAACTTTCACAAAGGATCTGTACTTCAACTTCATACCACAAAGCAAGAGACAGTTACAAATAAATATCCATACTTGGTAACGTATAGTACAAATCAAGTCCCATGATAGTATGGAGTATTGTAATTCAAAATTGCTCGATATTGTGCAGATGCTAACATAGTAGAGAATTATTTTATAAGACTGGGTTTCTTCTCTCTTCTTCCCTCTGTTTACTCATAAACCTTGGGTTGCATGGCGCGCAAAAGGAGCGTCAAAGCGAGGCCAAGAGCCACCCGCGCTCCACAGCTGCAGATCTGTACAATGAGCCTTCCTCGTCACTAAAAAACCCGTACAGTCAGAATACTCATCCCGTAAGTGAAAAAGTTCGAAAAAAGGCAACATTGGTCTGCAAACAGATTTCTCGATACTATCATAATGGGTAAAAAAGAGAAGGTTGAAGAAAACGCTGAAGATAACTACGACAAGCGTATGGCAGCTGTGTTGCCCTTCGCAAAGCCCCTTGCGCCAAAGAAATTGAACAAAAAAGTTCTCAAGACTGTCAAGAAAGCCTCCAAGGCTAAACATGTCAAGAGGGGTGTCAAGGAGGTTGTCAAAGCATTGAGAAAAGGTGAGAAGGGGCTTGTTGTAATTGCTGGAGACATTTCTCCGGCAGACGTGATCTCACATATCCCAGTGTTGTGTGAGGACTCTTCTGTCCCTTTCGTATTCATTCCGTCAAAAGAAGACTTAGGGTCTGCTGGTGCTACTAAAAGACCAACTTCTTGCGTCTTGATTGTCCCAGGTGGAGGAAAGTCAAAAAAGAATACAGAAAAAGCAGATGAATATAGAGAGGCCTATGACGAGATTGTCAAAGAGGTCAAGGGATTAAACTAAAGTGATCTTATTATTCTTCAGGCGCGCATCCAACCTTCAAGATAAATTCCATCTCAGAACCCCTCATCAAAAATTTTTTCAAGAACGCTTTCTATATATTAGTTGGCCTTTCATTTGTAAAGTAATGACATAGATCCTTTAATAAAGATGATCATTTATCAAGGTAAGCGTGAATTCTGGCGAAAGAGTTAAGATTTACTGCAGCTCATTTAATCGGCTGAGATTGCTGTTTAGCCTTCCGTTCTACTGATATGCTGAGCAATTTCAATAATCACAATTCGAACCCAGAGTGTGGGGTTGCATTTTTGTATTCATCATATCTCAACTCAAAGTTCACATCTATTTAGTTTTTGTCCATTTAATCCCGACTCTCTTGAAAGAATAAAATCTCTCATTCTACTCGGGTTTTTAGAATACAACACGATAAAATGACCAAAACCAATCAAGTCAAATCCGGACTTTTAACTTTTAATTGCATCCATCGACGCCAGCTGATCTTTAAAGCGGAAGCACTCGTTATCGACCCACACTTATCATATATGCATATAAAAAATAGATCTCGCTAGAAAGAGAAACGAAAACCGTATATTAGCACGAACAAGGCTTCATCATACAGCTGAAAACAGATAAGCCGTCAGTCAGGTCCCCTGAGCATATTGGAACTGAACCCCACGGCGGTTATATCGTGTATGTGCGAGATTCCAGGCCCATGTAAATAACCACAAGGACAAGAACCCGCATCTGAATTCACCATTATGGATTTTTTAGTTTTTGGTTCACAGATTTCCATTGTGTCACTCTCAGACACCTGGCATGGAGAAATAGTGCCGTTCGTTCGTAACACTGTACCCAGTGAAGTAAAGCGTTCCGCGTCCAAGGGAATTTCCAACTTCCTCCGCTTAGGTTCTGGCTGATCGTTACCGAACAGATACATTTGTAGTGTAGACGTCGTTATAAATCTTGTCTGGGATTTTTTACATATGTTTCCGCTGATTTTTTCGCCACATGCATGCGAAATCTATCTCATCGCAATTGCCGTATCGCTTGATACTAATCAATGGCAAGCCACAACGTCAACCTTGTTTTCACCTGGTTACTTCGAGACAATTAAAGGCCCTTGGAGATAATGAATTTAAATTATTGTTATTCTCTTATTAATTTTCTGCGGGCAAGATGCAAGGACACTCGCATTTTATCGCTGTTCCTATATTTGCGGGGTACTTCAGTACAAAATCACAGTGGAGCTACACAGCCGTCGCGACATTCTACTAGCCATGGCAGCTTGACGTTCATGACTTTCATCTGTGAGACAATATATGCAGTTTACAACGCTGACTTCGCGTGTTCTTCCTTCCCCTCTATTCCCCTCAGCATACTACTGATCCGTGCTCACGTTCGAATATTTAGAAAGCATCCCCCTCTGTTTCTTTATCAGGGCGCACAAAACATGGGTATCAAAAAAATATTCAAAAAAAAAGACCCAAGTGAAAGTGAATTGGTGGATGATCTACAAAAGTTGGGAATATCAACAAAAACTACCAATGGACGTCAAGAGAAGTTTGGCGCCTTCAAGCAGTATGCACACGAAAGACAAAGCCAGCGCACAGGCTTAGCACCAGTTAATCCTTATGCTGACATTGACAGCAGTTCGAATAATCCATATGCCTCGCAAGCATCAGGCAAAAACCTAACTGATGACCTTTACCAGCAAAGAGAAGGACATGATATACCATCTTTGTATCCGGGATCAAATCTGAGGGAAGTTCAATCACAATCTGTAGGGAATTCCAAGAGAGTCGACCCTTATTCTTCACCATTACACCATCTCTCAACTGAAAATGTGCGATACGAGCGATCCCAAAATCATCCTCAGAAATCTAATCCATATGAATTCAATGCGAGGAACTCATCTTCAAGAACAACCATCGAAAGCGAAGGTGACATGCAACTTTCGTCAGCTTCTGATAAGTACCAGGCCCGCTCGAAAGGTCGAGGTATTTACGTGGCACCACGTGATGATGAACTGACACTCGATTTGAATGACATACCTTCCATCCGCCCACCAATCCAATCGAGACGACCAGTTCGTCGAACTGCTAATTATGATAATGCCTCTTTAGATTTAAATGACTTGCCCGACGAAGATTTGAATATTGAACTGCATGAGTTTTTGTCTGATCAAGAGCAGGTCAATTCTGAAGATGAAGAAGTTGAGGCCATCAAGCAAGACATTCGTTTCACCAAACAAGAGTCTGTGGCACTGACTAGAAATACATTAAGAATGGCTCAGGAAGCTGAGGCATCAGGAACAAACACTCTTGGGATGTTGGGGTCTCAGTCAGAAAGGCTTTACAATGCAGAGCAAAATGTTTTGTTGGCAGATACCCAGACAAAGATTGCGGATGAAAAGGTCAAAGAGTTGAGTAGATTGAATCGATCGATTTTCATACCAGCAACAGGGAATCCATTCAACAAAAAATCCAGATTGCGCCAGCAGGAACTGAAGTTGAAATCTGATAAAATGCAAGAAAAGTACCTCCGCGACACGAATCGCCAGGGGATGTACGCTAGTGAGCAGCGTCTTACGCAAGGTATTACGAGCAAAACCCCAAACTCCGAACTTTTCAATAAATATCAAGGCGAGAAACAGATACAACAAGCGCAGAGATACCAATTTGAGAATGACTCCGAGGATGATGAAATGGAGAAAGAACTTGCTTCAAACTTAGATCAGATTTCCAATTATTCGAAAAAGTTAAGAAGTACAGCGAAGATCATGGGTCAAGAAGTTGATGCACAAAATGGTCGCTTGAGGAGGATTGAGGAGGATGCAGATAGGTTGGATATCAATGTCCATCTCAATAGCTCGCGCTTAAACAATATTCGGTAATAAATAGCTCCCATTACTGGCAGCTCTGGGATATATAATATCATCTGTGCAGACCCTTTGATCGCCTTCGCAGCGTATCTCGATTTGGTTGCCCGTGGTAAGATGACTCGCCATGATGGCAGAAGAACTTTATGTCAGTAAAATAAGAGATCTAGTGAACCATACGCAAGAATGTTTATTCCGAGTGTATAGCTAAATATGTCCACTGCGATGTTGGACTGTCCGAAATAAAGATTGTCGATGTCAAGGTATTTTTTTAGCAATTTGCCTTAGCAAATTATCAAGCTCCACAAGCCATACCTGTAAATTGATCTTTCTGATTTACAAATAAATTAAATTAATGTGGGGTGTGTAGAATTGACTAAACTAATATCTTGAATAAAATTCACGACGGAATGCCGAAATAATCCCAACTTCAAACCTGCCCCGCGAAACTCACCTTCAATCGCGAAACACCGCAACAAATCGCAAAGTTCCAGAATACCCCTGTCTCTATTCTAGCTCACCACTGTGGAAACAGCACACGTCCGCAATGTCCCACCAAATCAAGGAATCTATTTTTGTTGGAAAACTTCTCCTCAACTTCACTTCAATTTTTGTTTCTCTTGGAGTTTTTTTATTTGGATTTGAACAGGGCTTGATGTCTTCTTTATTGACAAATGATTACTTTAAAGCTTATTACAACAACCCTAGTCCAGCGGCAATTGGTACAATGATTGCGATTTTGGAAATTGGCGCTTTATTCTCCTCATTTGAAGCGGGAAAGGTAGGTGATAAAATCGGTCGTCGGCGAACAATTCGTATGGGCTCGTTCATCTTTGTCGTGGGAGGTCTCATCCAGGCTACATCTCCAAACATATTGATTCTTAGTGCTGGTCGCTTAATCGGTGGAATCGCCATCGGATTTCTCACAACAATCATTCCTTGCTATCAATCCGAAATTAGTCCTCCGTCAGATAGGGGTTTCTACGCTTGTCTTGAATTCACTGGTAACATTATAGGATACTCCACCAGTATCTGGGTTGATTACGGATTTTCATTTTTGGAAAACGACTGGTCATGGCGCTCACCTTTATTCATCCAATGCTTAATGGGCTTTCTTCTCTATTTGGGAAGTTTCGTCATCGTCGAAACACCTCGATGGTTGCTAGACCATGACCATGATATTGAAGGTATGATTGTTATTAGTGACTTATATGCCGACGGTATCATAGAGGACGAGGTTGCGAGGTTCGAATACAGACAAATCAAAGAAAATGTTCTTATTCAGCGTGTTGAAGGAGGCGAAAGATCGTATCTTTACATGTTCTCTCGATACAAGAAAAGGTTGTCTGTTGCTTGCTTCTCCCAAATGTTTGCGCAATTGAATGGCATCAACATAGTCTCTTACTATGCTCCAATGATTTTCGAAAGTGCTGGATGGATCGGAAGATCGGCTATCTTCATGACCGGGATCAACTCCTTGGTTTATGTTGCAAGTACAGTTCCCCCCTGGTACCTTGTTGACGAATGGGGCCGAAAGCCTTTGTTATTGACAGGTGCAGCCGTCATGTCGATTTCATTGTTCTCGATATCTTATTCGCTCTTTCTCAATGATACATATACTCCGCAGGTTGTGGTTGGCTTTGTTATTCTTTTCAATGCTGCTTTTGGAGCCAGTTGGGGTCCTATTCCATGGATGATGAATGAAGTATTACCTAATTCAGTTAGATCAAAGGGCGCTGCGACATCCACGGCCACTAATTGGCTCTTCAATTTCCTTGTTGGTGAGTTGACTCCTATTTTACTAGACACAATTCAATGGAGAACATATTTGATCCCTGGGGTTTCATGCATTTTTTCCATCTTGTGCGTACACTTCCTTTTCCCCGAAACCAAAGGCTTGAGTTTAGAGGATATGGGGTCAATTTTTGATGACACTTCCTCTGTGTTTTCTTTTCATTCAGGATATAACTCGGCAAACAGGGCGTATGGCGCAACCGACTTTTCCCGGAGAAACAGTGTGCAAGAGAATATATCAGATCCGTCACATGATGCAAATCAGACTGCTCAATTTACCGCTGCACAATTAGCGCGTAATCCCTCGTCTAGAAGAACAGAAATCGATGGTCTCATCACTGGTAGCCACGTGATTCCTCAAATTGCTCCTCCCAACGAAGTTTTGAAGCCTATCGTCTCTGACGTTTCATCGATTCATGATGATTCCGCTACAAGACCTCCATCTTTGGAGGAAATAATTCTGTTTAAGCAAGCACAAGAAAGAAGCTCTTGGTGGTACAAATTAAGAAAGTCAAGTTTTGGCTACGAACCGCTAGCAGGTTAGGCGAAATAGTGAAATATCAGGACATTCTTATTTTGCACTCCTCATGACCTTTAGTGCGTTTGGGTTCCAAAACATTTTAAAACAATCGAAGTATGTACAGCCGATAATTTTTGAGAGTATAAACGGCATAGAAGGTTTAATTTGTAAAGGCTTGTTTTCAAAAGACTTCATGTACCGTTGATGGTTGCGAACCACGCGATTGTAAACACTCTGAGTTTTATTGTGTCGTTCCAGAAGCGGCACGACATGACTTTTATTTATTTCTAGGCTTTAAGATTCTACAAAACACTAAAAAAAAACATTTGTCGCTTACAGGCTGTTAACTTTTAATAGATTTCCCTAGATTGATAAGACTGAACGTGACATGTGCAATTATCTGGATGTTTAGGTCAGCAGGTTGGGATTTATTTTAAAGTTTTAAGCGAGATTGTGGACCTGCACACTACACAGGGGTATGTTTTATTGCAGAATTTGGCCCATTTGCGCGTCATGGTCGGAAAGGTGTACTTTGTTTATTTTAACATGTCATACCAACGCAAGAAATGTCTTTATAACATACAAACCCACCAACTCACTGAATCTTTTCACAATGTCCATCCTTCTTGATTCTGATGTTTCGTTTATCACACAATCTCCTAGCTTGTCAATTTTACTGGGACTTCAACAAATCACAGAATTAACCTCAGGATCACTGACGCAAATCAATTCTCTGCTGACAGTTTCCCAGACTTCTGCTGGTGCTAGGATTCAAGGGCATAATAAAATAAGATTAATTCTCATAGCTTCGCTAGTTACGTTCTTGAATTTTTTCTTGCTACTGCTTTGATACTTGCCCAACAAATTTTCTTCCCGCAACAAAATATGAAAATAAATTCTCAAAAATCATCATAACAAATTCAGAGAAGAAAGCCATTAGCAAGCAGACATTCAAATCCTTCAGCCGCCAAAAGCAAGAAAAGCAAATCCTGATAATGCCACAGCGCTTCGTTTCTTTACATGCCGCAGTCCGTCAGAACAAACGGTGCAAACACTTTTGAAATGCATTATATCAAGCAGAATGGCTGAAGCTGTATGATCTATCGACCATTCATCCTTTCAATTTCGTATCATATGTCTCCCGTCGGACCTTGCCACTAATTCCCAGTGTTTGCACACACCAGATACATAACAACGGAGACACCACGGACGCCTTCCCTAGCTACCTCTACAATAACTGTGAAACATTCTAATACTGGTGGCAAAAGCTAAAATTTGCCAAGCCCATGCGTTTAAGCAAAATGTTGGCTCCCGGCAACAACTCTTTGGAGAACTTAACAAATTTAAACTGGTGCTTCACCACGAAGGTATGTATCTGAAGACATGGCGAGTTGCATGAAGTGAACGCCTTGAGTCCTTTCCAACCACCTGAGTTGAAGCGACTACTAAAGTAGACTTATCTCAGGAATCCAATACTGGATTGCATAGTGCCACGTGATGATCTATCGCATGGACACGGTGATATCATTTTTTACTTGTGAAGAGGCCTTAGGACCTCAAGGGTCTGGCTGAGATAGAATAAAGCCCCATGTATATACATTTGGACATTATATACTAAAACACTGATTGATTATTAACGAGATAAATCATAAAATACGTAACAAGAGGACCGTCCAGCTCATGATTAATGGAAGGGGCCAGGCCGAGCTTCGACACTAGGTACGTATCTGAGAGCTGTTCAAAGGTAATATATTATTGTATAGTTTTGTTCCTTTTATGAGATAAATCAACCAAAAAAAAAAAAACACGCTTGGTTCACATGCAGTGTGATAAATAAAACATTGCATTCATACCGCTATAAGTTTTAAAATGAGAAACATTCGTTCGAGATTGGACATGTTTGCACTTTCAGTGAAGTAGCTAGGGTACAAAGCACAACTATTCCATGTTAAACTGGGACGACCTCCAAACAATATTTATGTTCAGTGGACCTCTTCAGCAGTACATTTAATTGTGGTGCAGATATAATTGTTGCAAATAGACAAAACATAGACATGGACACTGTAAACTGGAAAGGTTTGTGAATGAGAGCTCCCAGAAGTATGAGTCCAGCAAATTAGTGAGTGTGATATTTTTAAAATATAAAAATACTTAAGAAAGAATTTTTGTCAATAATTAATTATAAGCTTGCAATTATACAGTACTTAATCGTATTCAATCTCAGATAATGCGGCTCTCCAGCATCTGAAAAAAGCCTCAAAAGTCTTGACGCCTATACCAGGCTCTTTGAAGCCAGTGGATGCTCTGATACTGTGCATGCTAAGCTGAGCTAATCCAACATCAATAACTCTTGATCCAGTATCAACCGCTAACATAGGCCCTATCGTTCCACCAGAAGGTCTATCGTTGCGAATGTGGAATTCTTGTAATTTGAGATTATTTTTTTGAGCAATTAGATTCATGAGAAGCTGGCCAGTCAGATCAGTCACGACATGCCCACTTGCATCCAATTTCAATACAAGGCCCTTGTTTGGAACAGGGGAATGTCTCTCAAGATATGCTTCTGTGAAGTTCGGGTTTAGGGCATGAGTTACATCTGCCGATAATATTACCGAATTTGCAAACACTAGCGCCAAGTCTGAAGACTTGTATTTTCTGGACACAAGAACTCTTTCGACGACACTGTTCAAAAGCTTGCCTTTGGCTCCAGTTCGAGTTGCGCTCCCAATCTCCTCGTTATTAGCAAGAAGAACAATCAGAAATCCATCAAATTCCTCCAAGCTGCCTACCATAGAGTGCTTGAGTAGTCCATGAATGGCACTAAAGGCACAGAGTCTATCGTCAATACGAGGCGCGAATATAAACTCGTCTGATAACCCACCACGAGTGGCTGGCTGAACATCATACAAATCCAAGTCTGCCTCTACCATTTGCGATACCTTTACATCAGCTAGTTTCGCAATGTATCTTAAGAGACCCAAAGAATGTTTCCCGTACAAAGCGCTGGTCTTTTCATCGTCTGTAGCCAAAGGTTCAACTGTTCCATAACCTAATACAGGTATCATCTGAGTTTCCTTGTTATATGGTGGGCTTGCGCCTATGCCAAAATGTGGTGCTAAAGAAGGAATTCGACAAACTGCATGCTTACCTGAAGTTATGATTCTTCTTTGTATTTTTCCAGATACACTGTCGCGAACAAGAATTGACCCAGCAATTCCTAAGTCACGATCGAGCCATAAATGGTTGAGAGCCCCAGAGTATGGTGCAACTCCCAACAACTCATAATCGCTAACTTGTGTTTTTAAAGAGCATGGTTTCAATTTAAGAGTCAACGCATCAACATGGCATCCAATGCCCGCAATACCGTTCTCAGGAACCCACTTTCCACCGACAACAAAGGCGATCATTGATTGATCATCCCTCTTGGTAAAGAACAAGCCACCTTTCTTTGTGTGCTCAAAAAAGCTTGACTCAGGTATATACTTAAATCTGGAGGATGTCAAAAGCTGAGTGAAATATGATATTACATGATACGTTGTAGGATTTTTGTCAGTGAAATCTAAGTAGTTAAAGCAGAGTTTTTCGAAAAACCCAGACAGATCACCCGTATTAGTATTCGTTTCATTTCCTTTTTTTTCAATTGTGCTGTCGATGTTCATTGCTGTGCACTTTACTCCATTATTAATGGAACTCGACAACTCTATGTCGTTGATGACAGCTTCAGGCTCGGAGTCTTGTTCGGTCTCTAAATTGTCTTCGCTATCAGTAGATAGAATTCCATTCTGATTTATGATGGAAAAAGTGTCAATTATAGATGTTATGTCCTCATTTGCATAACCTCTAGGTGCCATTCTCAAAAGTGTGGTGATTTTGAGTGTGTTCAGATATAATTTTGACATGATCTTTCATTTATTGAGATAAGATCACGTGATCTGGTATGACTTTGTGCTTTTGTTGTTCACACAACTAATATTTTTAAAGCACATGAAAGTTCCATTCCTCTTTGAAAAATGATATTATTTCAGAAGTTTATCTTCCATCAAATGTGCCCATCTACACAAAATAAACGTTCAAAAATATTGGGTCGTTTGATGAGCGCATTCTTGAGATCATCAAGATTCGCGCCACCACTCAGGTCTAGAACTTGCTGACAACTTTTCCTCAAGTTACAGAATGGATAACTCCACAATTATCTTTGTTGCTACGCTAGCCATAGTTCTTGTCATTTTGCGCTGGTTCATTACGCCAATTCCCCAGTCTGTACCTGATGAGTTTAATATTCCTGATCCTGCTCGCTCTTCAGTAGCATCAGGTACCGGCCGGCACCGTCGGCAAGTAACAGAATCGATGATTGAAGTAGTGCAAGCTATTGGGCCTCAATTGAGTATCTCACAAATCAGACACAGTTTGGAAAATACAGGCTCTGTCGAGGCTACAATTGAAATATTGATGGAATCTGGAAACTTACCTTTTCCTCCTGGTGAGAATTTCGATACTTCGACCTCGGCAACCAGTGATCATTCTGACGTACAAACGAGGTGCACAAAATCTTTATTGGAAAAGTATGAAGTAGAAGGTGAGCCAAGAAAAAGTTTTGCGACTGCTGGAAAATGGGGGAAGGACGAGAATGAGCGCCTCAGTCTCTTACGTAGTCGAAAGGCCGAATTAATTTTGAGGGCCAGAGAAAATATGAAAGCGACTATTTGTAAAGAGGAGTGAATATTTGGTGATAAAGACTCGATATTGGAGAGCCCTTTTTATAAAGCAATGTAAAGAGTATTTGTGATTCATATTCTTGATTCTTGTAGGTCACGTTGCTTTCTTATCTATAATAACTCGAAGGGCAGAGAGCCAGACCCCATTTTTATTGCTGAGAAAACAAATAATTGAAGTCGGAAGAGAATGAATAATCTAATAACTATGGTAATTCTACCTTTTTTACTAAAGTTGGCATCACCCGCTTTTTCTTAGAAGGACCCAATGGTTCAACGCCTTCATTTTGAAACCCAAGACCCTCCGAGGTAGCATTTATAGCAACGCTGACATTTGTAGACTCACCCATGCCATGCTTACTTTGAGATGGTATGAGTGTCGAGGATGGATTTTTTGGCTCTAAACTCGCATCATCGCTAGATTCGTGAACAGTCTCTTTATGTGGCATGATTGTGGGTATTGCGTTACGACTCTCGGTTGACAATCCAGGAGCACATTGTTTTTTTGACTCGAGAACAGTTTTCAAAGGACGGTCACTTGGCCTTTTTTTGTCAGGAACTGTCTCAGCTCGAAGAATCCCTTCTTTGTCACTGAAAGACGTGCCTTCAGGAAAATTGCACTCATACTCATTTGACCTTGCGGGAGGCTTAGACAGGGTATTGAGATGCTGGATGCCTCCGAATGCCATTCTATCAAACGTTATTACTGAGCAAAATCCTTCTGCCGATGATATCATGAGACTTTGACCATCAGCATTCCAACATAAATCAGTTATACTTAGATAATGAAGGTTGGACAGAATTCCCAAAGGTCTTAATCTTTCAGTATCATAGATTATAACAGCGTCGTGAGTTGCCACTGCGAAGACCATTTTGTAAGGTAAGGCAAACACAGGAGGATTTTCGTCGCCGGACAATTCAAACATTGTTGGACAAAACGCCACTGCAATAGCAGGTTTTGACAACCCAGGCAAATGGCAAACCGGTGATTGATTCAACCCTGTCCGAGTGTATATATAAACAGTGTTTAACAAACCTGTTTCGATACTCCCATCAAGCGTATCATCCCGGCAGTTCTCGTATTTATAAATACCCAGCGGTACCAAAAGTAAGCTACCGTCTGGTGAAAAAGCCAACCTTCTAAAAAATGACTGAAGGTTTTCAGAGTGGTACAAATAATTTAGCTTCGTAGCAAGCTGGACCTTCGAGGAGCTGTCTGATGATGATGTAACTCCCTCGAGTTTTGTGTGTCGGTTCATCGATGAATGCGGCATACTACACCCATGTGGCGCTTCTTTATTTGTGCTCACATTGCAATCAAAGTCGGGTATTTTGCTTGCGTTTAGTAAACTTGATACCTTAAATAAAGGAGTTTCCGCCTTCATCAGTTTTGACAACAAAGAGGTGCTCAATTGAGAATTTGAACTTCCCTTGTTCATGGCAATGGTGTAAATATTTACTGACCGATCTGCACTCTGTGTGGCAAAAAACTTATTCAATGGGTCCCATGCAATGCCTTGCACATAATGGCTGTGATCAGAAATCTCCATTTCTTTCTGACCCGTCAAAACATTGAAGATCTTAGTGGTATTGTCCATAGACCCCGTTGCAATAGACTTTGAATCGGGCGACCAAGAAATGTCATATATCTCCAGATTTGAATTGTGGATCTGGTGTACAATCCAACTCTCTTTCATTTCATCGTCTTGAACACCAAAGTCGTGTACAATGGTTTTCGACAACGTCCATATTATCAACATGCCATCATCACCACCGGATGCTAAGAGCTTCCCACTTCGGTCGAATCGAACTACATTAACAGCCTGTGTGTGCTTTCTGAGTGTTGAGAGATACTCAACGGAAGTATCTTGTGGGTCTCCAGTTTCAGAATATCGAATTCTCCAAATTCGCACATTTTTATCCCCGCCGGCGGTAGCTAATCTCGAATCCAGTTGGTTTGAAGGTTGAATATCAAGTGAGTACACTGGATGGCCATCGTCATGCCAGTGTATGGCGATTGTGGCTGAGAGCATCACTGATTGTTGTATTGTCTAGACACGGTGTATTGCGTTCAGTATTGTCCTGAGTCGCGAAAAGACGAGGCAAGAGCCAAAAAATCGCGTTGGAATGACGCGTCGCTAGAACACTTACGATCGATCAAAACTCCTTGAATGAGTAAATTTTCTACACTAGTATAACGGGCGGACGACGAAAAAAATAATTTTCTGAAAGTTTTTAGATGACGATCACAAAATAGCTGCGTTGTTACAAGTGATGAAATCAGGATGTAGAGGAAGAACATATCGCGCTGCACAATTTTCTATGATATCTCATGAACAGGGCCTTGTGCTTCGCCCCATCAATCTTTATAATATAAAGCTAAGAAAATTTGAAGAGTGTGACTTTCCATCAGATAAACCTTATCTTTAGGATAAGAGATAGATAGCTTTTATATCGAATGAGATTATCTAATCAACATGTAGCTGTTCGCATTTCAGTATACCAATGACAATGTAAATTTCGTTTACTTCTTTGCCTTTTTCTCATGTGGTTTACTAAAAAATGAAACGGCAAAAAGCAGAATCATTTATGGACTGCCTTCCCTATCCTTATTGATCAAGTTGAGAAACTTAAAATGTGAGCTTGAACTCCTTATCCTGGTTCTTCACGCGATACAAAAAGTTTGTAATCACTTCATTTTCCCTTATGTTCATCAGTGTAAAATGTTTCTGGAGATTGCTGGCAAGTTCTGGTTTAGAAATTTTGTTCCCATGTGTGGCTCTTTTATAGCTATACGTTTTCTTGCCTATTTCAGAATTGAGAATATTCTCATTTAGTGAGCGCACATCAGGGTAATTAAGGCTATATTTTCTCAGATAGTTGTTGAGTGTCTCCTCACTGAAACTTTGAAAATCCAGCGGGTGTATCGATGGCTTGTCTTTCGGGCCATTAGAGTGTATATGCTTCGACAATAGTTCTAATTGAGCTGCTGCTGCCACCGCGTTTCTTGCCTTGTTTGCGGCCCTTGAGGTCAAAGTTGCTTTGGATTCTGACTCGGATGTTGAATCTTTATTCTGAACTCTTGGCGGCATTTTTGTATCTTCTGAGGACTTTAGCTCAGTAGAAACTCCGAGTGAAGACTCTTATCTCATGTGTGGTGCACGGGTCTAGTTAATACTTCTGTACATACACGGAAAAGACAGCTGTACAATCAACAGAATTTCCAATAAAACTCGTTTGATGCAGATAAAGGGGTGAGTTTAAATTTCAGATATTCTACTCGGTTTTTGAGTAGTGACAATCATAATCTATATGTTAATAATCTTCACAATTTCATATTTATCGTTATTCGTTTTTGCTCATTTTGTTTTGTGGTGAAAAGGAAAAAGACATGCTGAGGTGCGAATTTCCATTGTTGCTTCTTTTTCCCTTTCGACTTTGGAGCTTTTTCCTCTGTTCTAATATAAATGAAAGGTCAAAAAATCAAATTCATAGCCGAGGTTCCTACTCCAATTTTTTAAAAAATCCAAATCTTTTTTCGAAACGTTCACCTAGTATGACCAGAAGAGGGAATTAGAAATGATGAATCGCAACTATTTCGGGAGCCTAGGAATGAACCTTCTATGATACTCGTATCTCTTGTGGGATGAGTGTATAACTTTCCGTTGTCTCAAAAATCTTGAATAAATATCCTGAAGTCTTTTTGAACTATTAAATAGTACTTCTCTTATGTTTTAGTAAGAAGTTGGAAACTCAAATGGTGTTAACGTCTCGGGACGGACATTTATAGTAACGGCCCGGTTTTAAATATCCAGCCGCGTTGAAATTCAAACTTACTATTCAGTTCTGGGGCTCATACTCTTGAGTTTTTTTTCCCAAGCATACCTCACAGACTTCCCTAAGCCTGCCGTGAGTATTCCTTTGACACTCTGTGTCAACGCTGGGAACGCAATTATATTCAGTATAGTGCTTAGCAAGACTCGTTTCGAAGTCGAATCACTTAAAGCTTCATTCAAATATAAGCTACTAGCGTGGTGAGAGAGAAGAATCGAGTCCAATGATTCAATGCTCGTATTTCCTTCCAAATAATCCAGCATGACCTTATCCTGGGTCAAAAGTTTCCCGTACTTGTTTCTATAAGAATTTAGGAATCTCCACTTGAAATTTTTAGGAAGACTTGCCAAGATTTCCGCTGCAGATCTAGGCTTCATTTTGAGATCATAATCGCCACCTTGCCTTTTCATATACCCTTTTGAGATTGCGTTGTCAAAAGCTTTGCTATATAGCTGCTCGAAAAAAGGCAATTGCTTACTCACTATGTTTTTAACTTTATTCGGATTTTCACCTCCTATAAGCATTCGGGGATCCCCCATATATGAGATCAGCGCTATTTGTTCAAAGAGTTGTATCGCACTGAAAAGACTAGAGCCGCACCTCCTCAGAAGCATGAGCAATGATAAATTGAAAGCACTTTCTAAATTGTATTCGTTAGCGCGTTTCAATTCATCATTGACACTAAACACATGCTCAACGGGCTTCTGAAGCCGTCCTGCAATGTACAATGATGTCCAATCGCGTAAATCCATGAGAGCGCTCCGGTTCGAAACAACGCCATACTTCAAAACAAGTTTTTCGTCGCAATCATTTGTCATAGACACATACGGATTGAAGTAAACCCCAGCTCCACAATCCTGAATCCATTGTATGGCAGAATCTGGAAGCTTGATTAATGATGAGTAATGCTTAGGAAACTTCGCGGCATTAAGCCTGTGAAACCTGACTGGATCATCCACTATGTGTATTACATCTAGCTGGGGATTTGATGCTGCATTATAACCAGCTTGTTGAAATACACCCAGGCCATATCCAAACGAGTAGGAAAGGCCTGGATTGCGAAATTGTTCTTGAACCGAAGAAAGTTCGGACCTCTTCTCTGCAATGGCAGAGTGACTAAACAATTTACACCCCAACGAACATTGAATGTTGAATGAAGACGGATTTCGATAAGCGCTCACTTTATTTACCGAATTAATTGGACAAAGCTTCATGATGCCTTAACTCCAATGATGCATTTGATGTGTCACTACTTTAGCCTAAATTTATCAGCTCAATTGGAACTAATTGATCTATCGTCGAGCAAAAAAAACCCGTAAACCATTGGATATAGTGAACGCATGTTCATTCACTTTACGCAGGATTGAGACTCGCATTAGGAAACACGATTGCTGAAACTGCTGACTCAATGAATTCTTTTTCGGAAACCTTATCTCCTTTGTGGGATTGTGTCCCTTGATTTTTTGAGTCTTTCAATGAACACAAGCACAGGAATGCACTAAATTAGCGAGATAATTGTTTTTATTTTGCGCTATCTCCTCAATAAGTACGGATGCGAAAGTTTTATTTACTTTTCTTTAGGTTATGCTCAGAAGCTGCACATATGACTCAAGCAAATTTTCAACGTCACGTGCATAGTGATTATAATGCATTCACTTTGCCTCGAACGCATGTGTATTCTCTTACCACCCTAGAATTTCAGTCCCACAAAATGTCCTCCCAATCATACAGATCAACCAGAAGTTCTGTTTCACAGTCTTTATCTTTTGAAGATGCAGTCATGACTGGCTTAGCCAAAGATGGTGGTCTCTTTGTTCCTTCTGTGATTCCAAAATTGCCATCCGACTTTTTAACAAAATGGAAAGATTTAACTTTCGAACAGCTTGCCTTCAATATAATGCGGGAGTATATTGCAGAATCCGAGATTCCCAATGAAGATCTCCGTTCTTTGGTCGAAAAGTCATATTCAACATTTAGATCAGAAGATGTCACCCCATTGAAAGTTCTTGATGCAAAATCTGGTTTGTACATTTTAGAGTTGTTTCATGGGCCTACATATGCGTTTAAAGATGTGGCCTTGCAATTTGTTGGAAATTTGTTTGAATACTTTTTATCCAGAAAAAATGCTGGAATTTCCGACCCTTCAAAGAGACAGAAGATCACTGTAGTAGGTGCCACATCCGGAGACACTGGGTCTGCGGCCATTTATGGCTTAAGAGGCAAGAAGGACGTGTCTGTTTTTATTTTGTATCCCACCGGAAGAATATCTCCTATCCAAGAGGAACAAATGACTACAGTCGAGGACGCGAATGTTCACACGTTTTCAGTAAAGGGCACATTCGATGATTGTCAAGACATCGTCAAACAAATTTTTGGTGATAAAGAGTTTAATGAGCAGCATCATGTCGGTGCCGTGAACTCTATCAATTGGGCAAGAATTTTGGCGCAGATGACTTACTATTTTTACTCTTACTTTCAATTACTTAAAACATTGAACATACCTGCTGTTCTGGATGTGAAGCCAAGGTTTGTTGTTCCTTCTGGAAACTTCGGTGATATACTTGCAGGATATTATGCAAAGTCTATGGGCTTACCTGCTGACAAGCTCATTATTGCAACCAATGAGAATGACATCTTAGACCGGTTCCTCAAGACTGGCAGATATGAAAAAGATGGCGAAGTGAAAGCCACATATTCACCTGCTATGGATATCCTTATTTCCTCAAACTTCGAGAGATTGTTATGGTATTTGATCAGAGACAATATGACAAGTGGCGATGATGAGAAGGCAGGGGAAGTCTTGAGTGACTGGATGGCGCAGTTGAAACTGACTGGTTCAGTCTGCGCTCCCGAGTCTGTGGCTACTGCTGCAAGACGAGACTTTGACTCTGAGAAAGTCGATGACTCCGAAACGGCGGCGACTATCAAGAAAATTTATGTCAGCGATGCAGAAAACTACGTCTTAGATCCTCACACTGCCGTTGGTATAGCTGCATCATTGAGATTCATTGAAAGGGACCTCGATTCCGATACCAAGAGCATAAAGTATATTTCTTTATCTACTGCGCACCCAGCCAAGTTTTCTGAAGTCGTTAACAAGGCATTGCTGGGAGTACACGGTTACTCGTTTGAGAAAGATGTTCTTCCAGACGAATTAAAAGCCTTGGCAACAAAGGAGAAAAGAATCATTTTGATTGATGAACCCTCCTTGTCCAAAGTAAAACAATCAATCATCACTGAATTGGGCAAAGAGAAAAGTACATAAGTTAGATACTGCATTCCATCAATAGTGACATATATATTCCTCCTTAGTAACTCCTAGAGTATGTCTCACGACTGCAAGGTCTCCTCTGATGTCCCAAACAATTTCGAATTCGCGGGGGAGTATAAATTACCTCCAATATAATAAAACATGATAATGCCATCCAAATATCTAGCCTTAACTAGTCGGTTGGATCCCGGTATTGTGGAATCATTCGGGTCAGATCAAGTCCTTCCATGATGGACCGGAAAAATACTAAATATCGATTGATTGGACGATGTAATTTCCTTCAGTACCACCCTCATCCGAATAGGTTCTCAATGCCTATACTGAAAATTCAATTCTAGATGCATTTCATTCATGTTGTGTTGGTATGTACATTATTGCATTGAAAATACCAAGAATATATCTTCTATATTCATATCTTCATTACTCACGTCTTTCCCTCTCACTATGTGACATGAAGTATATTCCTTTAAGATTATATTCGTAATCCATCAAACAGAACTATAAAGATGTCATAACGTTACCCTTCTGAAAATCACCCACTTGAGGCCGAAGATCGCGAATGACTAAAACAAGTTACACAAATTTGAACAAGCCATCCTTGTAACCGGATGTAGGCAGCTTTGAAACAGGGTGCTTTCAGGTGAAACAATCCAGTCTATCCGAGGAATGGAGGGCCTCTGACTCTTCAACCAAATAATAATCAACCCGTATTCTACTATGAAAAATTGGAAAGGCAACGAACTCTCTTAGAATTTCTAAACGCGCAGGCCAAATCCAGGAATTGAGGCCTCTACACCCTACTTGCGAGACGCCTTCAAATTGAACAAAACATTCCGTCGATCGAGACAAAAATTTGCAAAATGATTCATTGGCTAGCCGTACGATAAATGAAAACATATTCCTGCTGTCAATTCTAGAGCAAAGATGAACATTCTATAACACAGAATCACCCACTATCGTCCAGTCAATGTCGGGCGTCGAGTCAATGGACAACCTAATGAAAGCCCGCTAGTAGGACTACTACCCGAACGACACAAAAGTCTTTCGCAACATCCAACATTCAAAACATCAGTCTCAAGTAATCAATACAATGTGTCCCTCGTATCTCCTTGTGCCGGGAACCCATCCCATATGCCGTGAGACATATGGAAATCCTTATAGTAACAAATATTCGCAAGCTAGACAGGCGCAGTGTATTGCCTTTGAGGTATGTTAAGGGTTCTTGGCAGCAACCTTGGCATCCAAAGACTCAATTTTAATCATCTTTTAGCTTCACTTAAACGCTGTATAATTTTGCATCTGCTATTGTAGTCGTTGATCGTTTGATACATGAATCACTGATAAATAATGAACCGATATTCTTGAACTTCTTATCAAAATGCTCAAGCAATCTGTCACCTGAAGATCACGGATCGATCCAATTGCGTACTTGGGCAAAGTTTACG